CTCGTACTGTGCCAACGATTTGGCTCAAGACTTGGAAAAGGTGCAAGGGTTGCTTGAATGCCGATCGTCGTATCGTCCGCTGCCTTTGCATAGGGAAAGCCAGGTTTCAGAGTTTCAACTACATGCCGAATCTTCTATCACCGAACATGGCGTTTCAAACGGGCCCTCCCGAACGAGGTCCACAGTAAACTCCGGTCTTCCGGAGTGAAACCGTCAACAACTCGGCCGGTTTTTTGCTACGGTACACTCATGCCTCGTGTCAAGGCAATCCCATGAAACACTCATCTCTTCCAGGGGGTCATTGAGTAAGTCAAAATTTATCCAGATGAGCAGTCAAAAGGCACTATATATTCTCTCCAAAAGACATGTCGCTTCCAGTACATTCAGTGTTTCACTTCAGTGACGCTTCGAAGCGCCACGCTTCGCTCACAAACATGAGACCACTGAGACCACCTTCCACCTCCTTCCACCCAACAAAAAATGCTGTTGAAATGCCCTTTGTTATCTTTGTTCCTGGTAGTAATGCCAGGAGCTAGTAGCGTTCTTGTTACTACTGGATGCCAGGAGCCTACTAGTAGCTTCTTAACACGAGATGGTTCCAGTCTTCGGGATCTCCGGCCCCCCCCTCCGTGAGGTCGCCCCTGCGCGCCTGGCGGACGGCAGCACCGTCGACCTGTGGAGCTGGAGAAGCGTCAGCTTCGAGAAGCCCGAGCGCTACGGCCGGGGGGCGGGCCAGTTCGGACGGCCGGGGAAGGGGGGGAGCCAGGGTGGGAGCAAAAGAAGCGGTTGTGTGAAGGGGGATTCTTTCCTGTGTGCTTTAAGGTCCGACTCCTACTATGTGACAATTCCTTGGAAGATCAGACGTGCCCAACCAGAACATGGGCATGTGTTCCCTTGCTTTTTGATTTTGCCGGTTCATGGAGGGAAAACTGAACCGAACAAACATCGAAGCATTCTATATATATAATCTTGGCATCAGCGTTTGGACATGTTCCGATTCCAAAGAATATATATGATTATATGATTATATATATCTATGAAGTATCCCAAACTGCGGGGAGTCCCAGAAAGCCAGCACACCGGAGCACTTCCTTTGTTGTTTCTCTCACTGTCCAAGCCCTCCGGCCACGTGAGCCAGGCCGCCGTGGCCGCTGGATGAGCTTCCCCAGTGATCGGCCAGCATCGCCCGAGGCGTTGGACGCACGCTTCCGGTACCTGTGCCACTTGGCGTGACGGGCGGACAGACGTTGCGAAGTGGTGGGACGTGGGTGACGATCTGAGATGGCCTTCGGGTTTATGTTTGGTTTGAGGGTGTTCTGGGTCACCACAGAGTTATATACACATATTACAGAAGGATGGCACGACTCAGAAGAATGCTCGGAATTAGTGCTGCGTTGTTCTCCGTGATCAAAGCAGTCCAGGCCAAAACAGTAAACTCACCGCTGGAATCAATAATCCGGTCCACCTATTTAAAAAAACACGCCGGCCCCCCCCCCTAATAAGGAAACCTCGGTCGCCTTTTTTAAATAGGGGGTCCCTGAAATCGGGGGGTTCATAATAGGGTCACCTGAGAAGGGCTTCAAAACCAAAAAGTCGCCCAGTAAAGTTTTATATAAAATCCTTCATTAAACTCATATCAAAAATTCAGTAAACCTCCAGATCGAATGGTCTTTTTCCTTCTCCCCTACAAAAACCTTTCTTAGAATAGTGATTCTTCATTAGACTAACAACTAAAGCTTTCGAAAGGTGATGTCGCTGTGCCACGCGGTTTTGCGTGACCTCGGTGGCAAGTGCGTTTGCGTGAGTCCGTGCCATTGGGGGAAGGAAAACCTGCTGGTGTAAACGCGGCGTGTCATGGTGGATAGACAGGGCGGACAGAGGTGGGCAGTTACGGTTGTTTTTGGAACCTAATGAAAAAAACTCCTTCAAGATCGGCGATGTTGGTAGTTTAGTAGGGGCTTGAAAGGCAGATTCCGCCTCCAAGCCTGAGCATTAACTCTTCATTTTGGCCTTGATCCACTCCTTTGCCCCAGGTGACGAATGGAACCAGGCGCACCAGGTGGCGCGGCGGTCGGTTCCGCGACTCATGGGACGTGATCCGGTCGAGACGGGTCGAGCGATCCAAAATCATCTGACATGAGGGATGCAAAGACTGTGGAGATGAGAAGCATTCAGGTGGACATGACCAGTCACGTGACCATAGTTCATGCTTTGTTCATGAGGGATGAGACTGTTTCAGGTGGAAAATTGGAATTTTTTTGGGTGCACCAAGTCTGGACAATCTCAGAATGAACTTGGAGGTTCAAGTCTCGCGGTCAATGCGTTTTTATTCACCCAAGGCCAATGCCTTTTCACTGTCACTTGTTTCACCCAAGGTTGTTTGCTTATGTTTCAGCTTGCGCACACCAGCGCTGGTGGCCGACTGCGCAATCCTCGTTTTTGGGGGTCCCTTCAGCCAAACGGCAGCACGGGCGATGGTCATACAGGTTCATATGTTCATACATAATCACGAAGGACAGCCAACCGAACCACCATCTCAAGCAAGCTTGCTAGTGTCATCCTACCAGCCCAAGACTTGGCTTGCAGGGCCGGACCGTCATTCCCTTAGGACAGGGCGATGCCCCCATGGTGTGCGTCAGTGGAGTTGTGGGAGCTACCGCCCAATGAATTGGTGTTGTGGTTGTTAGATGCTTTTAGTCCGGGCAGCAGCTAGGACAACCTTGGATGCACTCGGATGCACCGCTTGAAATTTCTGAAACCAACTTCTGCAACTTGAAGCGCAACACTTTGACAACTGATTGGTCAGAATTTCAAGTGGGGGGTATTGCTTTGTTCCACTGTGGCGCAGGAGTTGGGATCCACTCCAACTCATCAACTTGGAGAGTGAACAATGTGCTTCCATGCCAGAGTGAATCAAAGAAGTATGTTTGTCTCTCTTCAAGTTTGGAGACTAGTTTTGCCAGGTGCCCGTGCTCAAGTACCAATTCTTCGAACTATGGGCGCCTATAGGTGTGCAGCCTATCGGTGTGAGCGTTGGGGTCTGTGAGAACCAGCTTGGACATGCACAGGGAACATGGATTAAAAGGAAGGGGTGGTGTAATGGTGTACAACGTGTTTTTTTCATTTTTTGTATGATATTTATAAACAACTAATCCACTTGAAACAGTAAAATGCATAATGCATAATGCATGTATGGCAATATCACATCACATATGTATATATATATATAGCAATAATCCATTTCAAAGACCGCTGGATCTCATGTCTTCGCCCGTGTCGGTCATCTTCTGCGGATCCGTTCTCCCGGCGCGACGCGCGGAGATCTCAGTCACCCCAGCGCCCCGTGGTGCCAGTCGGATTGCTCAGGGCGCATGATTGGGGACTACCTCTCACAAATGGCCAGAATACATCCGGTGGAAGAGGATCATTAGGATCACCTCCAGCAAGAGGATCCTTGCACTTAACATTGAGACATACAACCATGCAACATGGTTGTCCCATCGACCCGCAATTGTAACGCAGTCAGTCAGCCAGTTCGTTGGTCTTTAAGACATTCTAGGGTTTTGTATGGTGCTCCGTGCCTCCGACCCCAATATATAGGTAATTTGGACCGTTTGGACCTTGTAATCCTTGCCCAGAGATATAACTAATTTGGTATTGTCACTTCGTTCGACCATGACTTGTATGCAGCCCGATTGTGGTGAACAGTCGTCTTTCAACGTTTGGTCACTTGATTTGAAGTTCTGTTTCCCGCTCGTGAATTATGATTCTGGATGTTGCTTTGGTCCTTGAAGCAGTGCAGCAACACCAGCAACACCCCGACCCCTTGCCAGCACATCCACGTGTCACGTGGCGGGTCGCGGTCGCGATCCAATCAGCGCATCATGACAGCCCTCGGTGTCGTCACCAAGTCCGGCCTCTTGAATGGTATTTGGTATGCCCGGTACACTGGTATGCCCGTTCGATCCGGTGGCAGGTCCTGATTTCAACCTGTCCGGCGTCTCAGAGGGTCCGGCTGTCAGGCCCGGAAAGCCCCGAAACAGGCTCCGGCCAGCGGAGCTGGCGCCCCGCGGTAGGCGGAGCGGCTCAAAGACACGCGTGAACGGCGAAGTCGGAGTGTTTGGGGAGGACTGAGACTTGGCGAAAAATGCGGTGAAACTAGAGTTTCAGTACTCAGTACTCTTTGTGAAAGAGTGGCAGCAGCAACTGCATTTGCAACAAAAATCAGAGCATTTTATTACAACACTCTGCATGGACCAAGGCCAATTGTGATGAAGGCTAGCACCTCAACACGGTATTGTAGCCTTTGCCATTTGTAGGAGGTCTATCACATGTCAAATGGCTTCATGAAACCAGGTCTACATCTACATCAGGTTTCGATTCAATACGTACTTTGTCAATGTTTGGCACAACATGGGGGCCTCCACAAACACATCAGGCATAGCGGGTCCCCCCAAATTGGGTGGGGGCATGTCCAGAGTCCTTTGGATGTTGGGTGTGGGCGTCCTTCTTTTCTGTTCGCATACTCCCTGTCTCGTTCACCCCCTGTCTCGTCTTCGACCAAAAATAGTGGTCCAGAAAGACAGGCCGCGCAGGGCATCTCCCTATGGGTCTGTGGAACCCTCCATGCTCGTTTTCGATCGTTTTCTATAATATACACAGGCAGCGAATTGGTTCTTCCGTAGAGCTTTGGATCTGAGGCTGCCTCCCAGCAAGACCCTGGTCCGCGTGCAAAGTTGCGAAGAGAAAACAGAGTGGACAGAGATTGACTGCGAGACCTGACTGGTGCGACAAAAGTATAGGCAGTATACATAGAGGGAATGAGTTCTTTTTTTTACAGATTCCTTTGGATCCAGCCACCCCATCCAGCCACCGCCATTCCTTAGGAAGTGCCAGGTCCAGGTTACAGACTGGCTCCGAAAGGGAGGTCGCCTTTCGGACCACCGGGACGTTCGTGACTCCATGGGCGGCCTGACCCACTTGGGTCTTAACCCATCCTCTGGTCGCTGTCGGGGCTCCGAACCCAACGCGCCGCTGTCGGTTGAAAAACAAGAGACGCCCTCGGGAGCCATGAACGTGGAGACCGGCTTGCCCTTCGCGAGCCTGCCTGGCTTGGGCGAGGATGAGCTACCCGGCTTCAGCGCCGAGGAATGCCCCGAGGAGCGGGGCAGACGGACAGTGTCGGTCGGCCCAGCTACGCCAGCTGGTCCAGAACCACCAGCATGCACAGTGTGCTACTACTTATACCTGGAAGACCAAGAAGTGAATGGGTCAGGTGTGTTTGTATGTGACCTCAGTTTGGCCTCAGGTGTGGTCCCTGCCCTTATTGGTGACAATGGCAACCCCCGTTTTGCGGGTCTCACCCACCTGCCCATCATATCCTGGAGCAGATCAGATTGATTGAAGTGAACGGACAGATGCCAGACACATGGCATTGGCATTGTCATTGTAACGCGTGCCGCTGCTTTTTGAATGCATGCAGCAGTATGTATCCCCATGTGCTTGAGGAAACCTACAGAAAACAATCATATTTGGACTCACTTTGATGGAATCTTCTGAGCCCCGTGCAGATGACAGGAGCTCCCTGACCTCTCCAAACACTTCAGCTTAGCTGCAGAGGTCCTGAAAAGCAACAGGCGGCGCCGGGCTGATGGTTCGCTTCGCGGGTGCTGTTCTCCTGGCTATTTGTTGGATGATGTTGCATAAGAATGCCTAGGATCCATACCAGGAAAACCGGTCCACACACACACCAAACCTATCAAAGGCCTCCAAGCGCAAGACGTGTCGTTGGGGATTGGAAGCTTTGATCATGTCCTATGTGGTTGAGCCATGTTGTACCCGTTCACAAGTTTACTGCAAGATCAGACATTCACAGGAACGCCCTCTCTCTACTCTGTAATATAGAGTCCCGCAAGCCTTGGGGTTTTGGGGTACGACGTTCTACTTGGCCCGTTGGTGTTTAGTTGTCAGCCTCAAGGGGGTTCATAGTGAATGGACATGTTACGAGTAGATCAGAGTTGGGGCAGTGCACTCGTTTCTTGCTGAATCGCCTTCTCCCGTCCCACCCAGCTCTCCTGCCTTGCAGGAACCTCTACCAGCAGATGCGTACGCAGAAGACCCCGGGCGGCGTTTCTTTCGCCAAGTGCCGCTTGGTGAAGATGAGATGCTCTACACCGTGCCGCCGTGGGCCTCGTCGATGGCAAAGGCCCTTCTCCTCTACAAACTGGGAGTGCTATCCACTTCCATGTTTGTTGCAGGGAGGGTGTGCAGATGTGCACCAAGAATGCAACGACTACAAAAACATCATTATGAAATGACCTTGGTTCAGCGAGGCTGGTCGCCTTGACATGCATGGTTGATTTTCCGGACATATTGACATATTATAAAATATGTGAAATATGCAATCGTAATGTCATCGTACCCTAAACAAAACGGACGTTTGATCCTTTTTGTTTGCTACTACTATTCTACTTGTTTCATAATGAAATATTTCATGGCACAGCCCATTCTCATACCGATCCCACTTCTTTCATGAGGGTTTATGTATATATATCCTAGGGTGTGACCTGGCAGGTGATACCCTTACAAAATAGACCAGAAAAAACTACAAAAACCTGTTGATGCCACCTTGAGTTTTCTGTCTTTTGTTGTCTCTTTTTTCTCATGAAACAATCAGTGATTATAATGTCTTTGGCTACCGCATGTACAGTAGTTTTGTAAACAATCTATCAAGACAAAATGGCAAACACACTAACAATATGCAGTAGATGTAAAAATAAAAGAATGAGCAGTAATCATAAGCTTTTGACTTGCTAGTCCATGCTAGTCCCGATCCCAATCTCATCTAGCAAGCAAGTCCCCCTTGCAGCGGTGCTGCTGAGAAGCCTTGTGATGCTCAGGCATCAAGACGGGCATCGACAACAGGGGCCATCCAATGATCAAGGCGGTAGGTGCACCGCCACCGTTCCGGTCGGCCCGTTCGGGTCGGACGGTGGTCGGACGACTGGTCGCCCCCTTCGGGTCGGACGACAGATCATGGGCGTCCGTTCGGTGGGAGGACGCTGGTCATTCTTTGGCAGAAATCGACCTTCTTTGATCTTCTGTGGCAGAAATCGACCTCTTTTCTAGAAAGAGGCTATGGAACATCATGGAACACATGTCTCATGACGTGTGGACATGTGTGGACCCCCAAGGCGTGGTCAAGCCAAGCCTGTTTGCAGTCTTCTTTCCTTTTGTTAAGGCTTCAGAGGTTCGAAAGAGGTTCGAGACTCCATCAGCAATCAACCAGAATTCCCAGGGCCTAGTCTTTTGATGCAGCCATGGGGGCCCCTAAAACGTTTGGGCGACTCCTCCCCCCAGCAAAACCATTTCTTCGTCAGGTGCTGTGGCCGGCGATGCGGATTGCCGCTTGGTGCCATCGGTGCCATCAGGTGTTGCTGATGTGCTCCGCAAAAAAGGGCCACATGGAAGTGGAAAGCCACCACCTGTTTGTAGGGGACAATGGTCATCCAACTGGCCGGCGGCCATCCACCTCAATATAATTGTTAGTTTCAGATGGGATGTCATCTATTCCATGTTGTGATGTTTGGAGGGCTATCTTTGGGTGCCCATGGTCCACTCATTGAGGCCATTTGCAGCCAAATCCTGCCCTTTTCCGATGTGGAACTGCAGATCGGTCACTTTTGGTGGAAGGTCCCTGATAGCCTGTGAATACAGGGGTGCTTCATAAGGTGAACTGTCAAATCTTCAAGTGTTTTTCCACCCCTGCGCAGCGTTCAAATCCAGGACAGCCATGGGCCCTCCGCCCATGAGCCGGGGGTTTGCTGTGTGTGTGTGCTTTTTGGTCCTTTTTCGTCGCGGCCGGGGCTGAGGCTTCGAGACCTTCAAGCCCTTCTTTGACCAGGTCTTGGTGATGTGCCATGGCGAGGCGTGACGAAGAGAGCCACGCAATTCGGATAACCAGACACGAGACGTCCGTGAGGTCCTGGGTATCGGGAGGAAGCATAGGATGGAAGATAGAATGGACTAGGGAGCAAGTCTTAGATTTAGATCATACATGATCATACATCATCATATTATATAGATCTTTTTTTGTCGTGCACCCGCACCTGTGAGGCCCCAGAATTTGATTCAAGAGTGTTGAGTCTTGAGGGATGATGTAAATCTTCTGGCACTCCTTGCCAGGAGAGTCTGAGCCGGGCACATGCCTCCTGCCCGCCACGCAGCATGGCTTTGGCATTGGAACTGCCACCGGAGCAGGTGGTGGCCTGTCATTTGCGTATCTCCAGGACTGAGTCCGTGCTGAGTCCGTGGTCAGCAGTTGGACAGAACACGAAAAGAAGAGCAGCAGGAAAGTGGAGAAGGACAATTCCCCCCGTACGTCCGATTCCCGACTGCGTGTTGAGCCTTTCGAAGGCCGTTTGTAGTAGAGAACATTTGCACCGTGCATCGGAACTGGCATGACCCATCGGATCTCATCCAACATCACAATATATCATTATTCACTCGAATGATGGCAATATGATATAATATGATCATCCATTCATATTCTTGAATGTTGCATTAAGTGTTAAACCCACCATCCTACAATTGCTTTCTAAGAGGGGAAGGGTGATTGGTGGGGCGGCGGCCGCCGATGCTTTTCCATCGGGCTCCCTACTTCAAAAATGGCTAAAACACAGGTAAATCATAGCCACGAAACCTCAGTAGGTGCAAGCTGAGGACCTCATCAGGCTTCTGAAGAATTGTGCCAGATCTGTGCAGCAAATTAGGCGTCTCAGAGAACTGAGTGACAGAATGTGGAACGGATGAATTACCCGGCTTCTCCAGGAACCTCAAAGACTTCCCCTTTGCGCCGCAGATGCAGCGTGCTCAGCGCTCGGAGGCGCGGATGTAGGGCCGACCATGGGGTTTCAACCAGGTGAAACTATGCAAAACCCACGAGAAACACGGAATTCGGTGAACCTGAACCGTTCTCAGGGAAAGAACTGAAGAACTCCAGCCAGGCTGTAAGAAACTGATCCTGTGGCGGCTGTAGACTGGGGAGGGGAGACAGGGGGTGTTTGGGATCGCGTGACCCGTGTTTTTGCGCCCCAGGTGGAGCAACGGATCGTGTCCACGCTGCTGGCCAGGGGTGGCAGCTACTTCCCCTTGGTCGGGTCGCGAAGTTCCTTGGTGAACGTGGAGGGTACAGCAGGCCGGCAGCACTGGGCTTAAACGAAGGGACAGACTCATCCAAGTTGCTTCCCAGATGAAGTCCGCTTTGTGGCTTTGTGGGCTCCTGTGGTTTCCAATGGTTCTGTTCTTTTCCGCGACATGTCAAAAAATCACACAATGGCTCAGCGGCTCAGCTCCTTTCCTCACTCAAATCGACGGCCCAACGGTTGGGCCAACGGTGACCGGGTGTTTCGAACGGTGGCCGATGTCAGGTCGTCCAAGTCCAGTCCAGACCCTGAGAGTCAAAGACTATATAAAGAAGGGTCTTTAGGTGACCCGAAAAGGAATATCCTTTACTTCAGCCGGTCCAGAAATTGTCTTTGGACTTCTAGGGCGGTATATCATATAGTAATATAGTAATAAGTCTAAGAAAACCCTGAAGACGAAGCCTCACACTCTTCCATCAGCCCATCAGCCCAGGTTACGCGGCCAAACCAAATGGCATGGATTTGTATGAGGCGCACGTGTCACAATGTCAGTACTTGAATCCTTCAGTGGTACTTGTAGGCATCATGCCCCAGACATCAAGGCAGGTACTTTGTAGGCATCAATCATAAAAGCCCAGCTCTGGCTTTGGCTCCGGTTGTGACGCTCCCAAGCAATCAAAGGAAGCATATCGAAGCCAAATGTTTACTGTATAAGTGTTTGGGTTGGAACACCCTTCCCCTGAGAGGAGAAGATGCTATTGGACTCGAACCTCCTCTTCCGTGAGCCTGACAGTCCGGCAGTGCTCTCCAGTGGCACGGGCCGCCATTGGCCCGATGGCCGCGGGGTCTTCGTCTTCGCCACCGGCGTGTCTGCATGGATCAACGAGGAGGATCACTTCCGGCTGATGTTGGCATCTTGGATGGAGGGCGACCAGGAGGACGGTGAGATTACGGAAGCAGGGACTTGGAGAAATAGATGGAGACATGGGGATATCATGGGATCAGCTTTGTATGCATTTGAGTGGGTGCGATCTGGCCGATGAGCGTCTTAAATGTGTGTATACACAGTATGCTTTTTGGTGATTTTCTTGTCGTACCTGCAATTATGTAGAAGAACTCGGACTTTGCGAAAGTGGCTCGCGTGGGAAGAAGCAACACGGAACAATTATTTGGAACTATTTGGCAGTATCAATTCTACGCTTCACCGGAGAACCAAACTTCAAGCAACCAGTTTGCAACATACCTGCGCTGTTTCTAGAATCGAGTCAAGAATCATCAAGAGCACTTGGAGGACCTTCCTGCACCACAAGCCACATTGTTTGAGGTTCTTGTTGTTCTTTTGGCTCCAGCCAATTTTTTACAATTTTTTTTCCCTACCCTCTTGTCTTTCTCTGCACTTGCTTGTAGCAGAAACATCCTATGGGTTGTTCCCTGCAAAAGGCGCTCCTTTTCAACGCTTCGTCTTAAGCCCTCCCATCGGATGAGGATCGGAAGGATGGCAACCTGAAGCAGGCCTTGACTGATGCAGATGCAGTGCCTAGGTGGAGATGGCCGGGCTGGTTTGCAATCGAATTGCCAGCTGTTGAATGCTACGGTTTGCAATTCGAATCGCCGTGGTGGTCCTTTTTTTGGGAGCCAACGGTGATGTGACAGATTACAATTTGGCGCAGTTTTTTTCAGCTTCTTCCGACGCCGCCTCTCTCCAAAGTGCGACTCTGTGAGCAACTCTTTTGGTGCATGTTCGCGCTCCTGACGCAGTCTTCATGTCATGGGCTGCTTCGAAACATAGAGTCTACAGAACCTATATGCAATGGCCAACAATGGTCAACATATGTGGTTCATGAAATTGGAGCTCGCACAGACCTACCAAACAAAACGGCCAAGGGGGTGACTCTGTTACTAGTTTATCTCTTTATGGGGCCCACAGGGACTAAGATTAGGTTCATCTCCAGGATACCAGGCATAAACAGAAACGGACAGACACGGTTCAGGGACATAATTATTTGGGCTTGTCTTACTACCTGCAACAGTCAGTGAACACTTATCATCAATGATAACTCTTTTAGAGAAAGGCCAACTGAACCATCATCATCCACTGAGGCGCTGGTAGACTCGGATAGACCCAAGACATATGTCTTCCCTCCAGTTCGACTGGACGAGTCCTCTCGCCCTCTCGCTCGGTCACCGAGGTCCTTGGAGTGCTGGAGTCGGTGCATGGCTTTGCTCAGTCTGAGCGCTTGGGAGACTTGGCCGATGTCAGCGCTTGGAGGTTCTCTCGGCAATGTGGGTGTAGGAAACAGGGAGACCCCCCGGCCTAGTGGGTTTTTGGTTGGTTTCCCTGTTGATTCCCTTCTTCCCATTCGAAGAGGGAGGTCTCCCTAGTCCAATACACGCCCAGGTGGCTTCCAAGGTATGGCCCACATGTTTTCAGAGGTCCTTTCTGTCATTTTGTGAGCATCCTGACATATATAACCCTTTAAAGTCCAAGTTCAAGCGTCGTGCTCAGTACTCTGTGCTATCCATACAAGTCGGAAACTCACCAAGCTGGACCGACAGCTAAGGATATTTGACCTCTTCTCCCATGAACGTGGGCGTAGCGATGCGGCTCGGCTGCCGTGTGGGACAAGACCTGAAGAGATGGACTAAGGTGAGCTGAGCTCTGGCGGCAGACCTTCCACCGTAGGATGTAAACATGGGATGTGTCAAGGAGCTGCCACCAACGAGCAGGCGTCCCTGACACATCCTGACACCAAAAGACATAGAAAAGAAAGAAACATAAAGAAACAAGGTGCATTTGCGACGGGAACTTTAAGTGAACTGGATTAGCGCACCCCAATCAGATTCATATGAGCAACCGCCAAAACGTGCAACCACTAACTAAGTAAAGAGCGGTCATGAGCGGTCATGATTTCAGGGGAGCTGTGCTGAAACCAGCAAAAGCGTCAAAAGCGACAGCGATAAACTTGCTGAATCATATCCTCCATACTTGACAGTACATTTTTGCAGACGCTCACATGCATGCAGACAGACACCAAATATCCGCAAAGACTCAGCCGCTCTAGGCCCCTTGCAATCCACAGCCTTTGATCCTGCAGTTTTGGAGTACGGCCCTCGTGTAGGAGGTTGAGGAAGTGTCACACTTGTTCAGTTTTTTCTCAAGATAGATAGCAACCCTCTCTAAATTCTTGTTTCCTTGCACCTTCACAACCAAGCGAGAAAGAGGTGCCACCCGGTCAGGCCCGGCACCATTCCGCACCGGTGGAACGTCGATTTATCCCTCTAATTCCTACGGAGACGCCCCGTTCCGATCTGAGGGATGCCAGCTTTGAACTGAGACTTCCAGAGTTGATGTCAGCGCCTCCTGGCCCGAACTGGAGAGAATGCTGATCGAAATGCTGCGACATTGGGGATGGGGAGCTTCTGAAGGGAGGAGTGCGATCTGCAACTGACATGTTGCACCTGGCAGTTCAGGTTTAAGAGGCTAGAACCAACATCCATCTATAGAACCCATTGATTGAGGGCATCCCTAGTTCAAACACGCACCCCCCCACACACACATCCATATGCCAACCAAAAATCCTTTCAGGAGTTCCCATCCGCTTGTTCTCTAAGTTCCAGCTTCCAATCCGCAAGCTCCTCCGCATGTGCCCAAGAGAAACCACTTTCCGGAACTTCCTTCTTCTCTTGGACTGCCTTCAAAAGACCACGCGCTCGTGGGCCTAGGAAGAAGGAGCTCGTGGAGTGGTGCAAGGCCCGCGACCTCATCGCGCCTTTCGGCGGGATCGAGCGTCCGGGAGAGAGATGGGGAGCGGGAGCGAGCGGCTTGGGCGGGAAGAGGTGGGGGGAGTGGTGAAATTCTGCCACTGAGTGTGGTGAAATTCCAACAAATCGACAGGGTCCACTTCAAGATTCACGAAACAGCTTCCAAGAAAGGAACGGATCCCCATCTTTCTCAAGAACTTGGTTTCAGGGACACTTCATGGAACATGGACACATCAGGACACCCTTAGGTTTGGGTGAACTCCTGAGTTTCCTGTCTAGATGTTCCCTTCAAACCGAAACCGTTGGCTTCCGGGAGTCGACGCCGTCTGACCGCCGCCACCGAGGCGTGCGGTCCTGGACGAGCAAGGCCTCCGCGTCGAGGGGCTCTTGGAGGTCTCCCACCGGCGTCGGATCGGCATCCGCCCGGAGGACCGGGCCGGTCGGGTGTCGCAGGTCGGTGCATCTCAGAGGTGTGGCATCAAAGAGCAAAGGATTCAGCTTGTAGATGTGCGTGGGTCTTGGGGAAATCAGACTTGAAGCGTGTGTGCTGAAGAACCTGCTTCAGGAGGTGGTGGCTGAATTGGTGCAGGAGGCCAGCTGTGCTGTGCACCCTGGGCACATCAATTTCTTTTGATCCATGTTGCAAGTTGCATATGCTTTTGGGTAGAAGCATGTTTGCTTAAGAGAACGGGCCAAGATTGATGATACACAATCATACATTTATGTCAACATAAATTATGTAATGATATGACATGTCATGCTTTACATCCTCCAGAACTTTCTCCGCTCCTCTCGGACATCGGACGCGGAAGCGCGTTCCGCACGCACCGTGCCGGCGTTCCGCGAGGCGGCCTTCCTGTGCCGTGCCGAACGTCTGGCTGCTGGAGGGTTAAGTGGTGCGGAGGCGTTGGGCGCCATACAGCCTCGGGAGCTGACGCCCATCGGCGCCCTGGGCGGCGCATTGAGAATGATCATCCCCTCAACGAAATCGAATGCAAGCGCACACATGTAAATAGGTATATATTTGTATATATATATATACGTATGTATGTATGTATGTATGTAATGTAATGTAATGTAATGTTGTAATGTAATGTAATGTAATGTAATGTCATGTCATGTCATGTCATGTCATGTAATGTAATGTATGTATGTATGTATGTATATGTACATAGGTGCCATAAATAAATAAATACATATATATATATAATATGTACATGTGTGTGTGAGACATGACATGATGACATGAAATACTATTCAAAATTCCCTTTGCCACTGGTTTGAGAGTGACGCGAGGCTTTTGAGATGCAATTAAGAAATTTCAAGCAGAACTCGGGATGCTCATCAAATTATATATACTGTACATCAATTTTGAAGATCCAAGATTGTACGCTTTTTGATCCACAGGCAGGAAACACGAGAGGATGGTCGACAGATTGAGCCCATGCATTCTTTCGTGCGCACAGACTGTGGGCGGCACAATGCTACAGTGCTGAGTCTAAGGTGTCGAAGACGAGGAGCTGAGCACTTTGAGCGGACGTGCTTGTTGCAACTCTGTCCATTTGCGGGTTTGTCAAGAAGCTTGGACCCCAAAAATCATGGTATTGGTATGAATCGGCGCAGATTTGCGGATCCTGTTCACTTCTTTAGGTCTTGTTGAGGGATATCGGGGTGCGGTGCTGATGCACAGACCTGTGTTGTGAAACCATGCTTTGCACCGCCACCCACTCGGAGGAGGCGTTGGCCCAAGATGCCTGGGACATGTCTGGCGGGCATATTGGCGTGCCTTGAGAGGTTAACCATGGCAGAGGTGTTTGGCAGTTTAGCAGTTGACCAAGAGGCGTGCAAGAGCGATTGGCGTTTCCACCAAGTGTCGAATGGCCATGGATGGCTCACAGATTCCCACTTGGCCATACATGAGTCCTCACATCCTTCGCATGGAACTCTTTCGGAGCCGCGGCATCTTGGGTGGACTGAGACCAACCAGTGTATGCTTCTGCAATGCCAGGATCTTTCCACAACAATGGTCATTCAGTAGAATCCCAGCAAGCCCACGCCTTTGTAAAACAACAATAATTGCATTTGTTCTACGCTGTGGGAAGGAACAAGTCTACATAAAGACCTATGCCACTCTTTATTACAAGTATTGATTACAGTATCATTTGTTGGGGCGGTATTTGCTCAGGTGCGCCTACTTGAGCCCTGAGCAATACAGCATGGAAACCGAAGCAAAACATGCATAATGTTGATCAACAACCCCCTACCAGAATTGTTCTACATTACGGGGGGTTTTATTGATTGACAGTCTACATTGTCTACATCACCCACCACTTGAGGGGTCTTCCCAAATCCTCCTTCGCGCTCCAGATGCTCATCTCCAACGCCATGATTATGGAGGAAGTGGAAGCGGCCAAGGCACAGCAGTGCCGTTGACAAAAGACGCCCGGGCCGAAGCTTTGACAAAGGCCCCGTATAGTGGAGATGTTGTAACCCTCTTCAGTGCATTCATTCCATGTTTAACCCCGGCATGTTTGTTGAAAAAAACACCCCAGCCCACCGGCTGGGGCGTTTGAAACACGAAATTTACACGAAGATGAAGTGGCGCAATCGACCAACATCAGAGGTGAAGTTGGCGCAATCGCTCATGGCTGGCACCTTGGGAGACCTCCTGACCACGCGTGCCATGCAGTATCAGCAGGACCCGAACGCACGCCGCCACGGAGTATGGGCCGCTGGGAGGATGGAGGGGTGAGGCTTCCGGGGGGGCACATGGGAAGAGCATGGAAGGCCCCAGACAGGTCCCAGCACCCCACCCGCACTGGGAAGATCACGCAAGCAGCTGCAAGATGCTGCAAGAACTTCTTGAAATGGACGTGCGTTATTGCATCTCTACAGTATGCCTAATGCTTCAAATAGAAGTGTACCTGCTCATGACATGGCCAGAAACCAACATATGACTACGGATATGTTCTCCAAGAAATCATGAGAGGGATGCTACTGCTTGGGCCCCCCTACCCTATTGACGTGTTGACGATGAGAAGACAAGAAGAGAAGACAGGAAAGACAAGCAACTCTGCCATCTGGACATGCTTTGCCTGCGACGTGCAGTACGGCCTCATACCTACTGGTTGGCTTGCAGGGATTGATGCTATATATCTATATATATCTCTCTCTCTAAATATATATATATATATTTAAAGAAATATACATATGCATGTACGTACACTGTACACATACAATGCACTGAAATACCGCACGTAATACATTATCATACACGTAAGATACGATAACCCACACCTGTTTACAACCAGGCATGGCACCTGACTGGCTTTCAACAGTGCAAGTAGGAATGTTTTTGGAAGTCCACCTTGTTCCTTGCCACTGTGTCCCTTTTGTTCTCCCTGAATTTGGCGCAGGAGCGGCAGGAGGAGTTTGAGAGACAGAAGGCAGAAGCGGCAGCGAAGATCCAGGCGGGGCTTGGTCAGGGACTAGTTTGTACATCACGTGTGATGCAAGAACCGAGAAATCCTCACTTTCCAACTTGGAAGTTGAACACAGTTTAACTATACGATGATGTATATAAATATCTATTTTCAGTTGGTGGGATAATAAAGTGAGGGATCAAGTTCCAAAGAATCTCACAAAGAAGAGCTGACTAGGGTCTCAGGACCCGTCGAGCTCCCAATGGCACTCGATATCTCTAGATGGCTGGGACATGTTGGCATCGGACGTGAGGACACGGAGGAAGATGTGCAGGAAATCCTTGGACATTGAACTCCCTTGCGAGATTCTCTTTTGGGAACATGTCCTGCGAGAAGTTCTTTGTTTGGGATGGAGGAACTTTCATTTCCTGCAGCCAGGCCATCCAGAGGGGCCGCCAAGAACGTGCAAAGGCAAAGCCGAAGCCAAAGAAGCAGCAGCAATTCACCAAGGAGGAACTGCCCCAATTCTTCGCAGCGGCCAAACGACCGCGCGGGCTGGTGATTGGATTGGAGGTGGTATTGGTCCATTGGTCTGAATAATTCCAACGGGGCAATATTTACAAGATATGGAACGAACTTCCTTTGCTACAGCCACGCTGTCCGGCTGTGTGCTTGCAAAGCCAGCTTGGCAACAGGATTGAAAGTGCCGTGGTTCTTAGAAGACCTCTCTGTCTCTACCTTCACAGGATCCATGTGGAGAACACGTGTGCCAATTGTTGTTCTTTTGGTGGTATTAGTGCTGGAAGACAGCAATTCCTCTATCTTCTCCAAGAACCCATGCAAACAAATGCACGAATCACTGGACCCCTATGACTGACCGCCATTCCCAAGCATTTATATAAGTCGTGGATGAGTGGCTCCCTGTCACCTCTACCACGTGGCTCCCGCCACAGCTCCTCAGCTCTCAGCTCTAGGAGCTGGAAGAACGCAAGAGCCTCTTGCGCGATGCCCTCGAGGTGGCGCTGAACGATGGGACCTTGGAGCCTTGGTCCGGAGGCGGTGAAATCTGGGAAGGAGTCCTTAGCTCCTAAACTCTTCATGAAATAAAAGCCTCCATGTGGAAGAAACTTCACATGGTTTTGCAATCCATGTCTCGTTTTGTTGTAAAAGAATACATCAAGAGTATATCAAGAGTCAACATTATTTTGTACTGGTAGAGTGCACCCAGGCCTAATGGGGAGCCGTGGGGGTCCGAGTAGTTTTCTCCTGTCTACGCGCGGGAGTCCACCTGTCTATCTCTACGAGGTGACTGGTTTCCGTTCCAGAGCTAAAGCAATACACCTTGGGTCTGTCTATTGCCTGTAACAGTCAGTAAACAATTGTATATCACTGAATTTTGAACAAGGCCTGCAGCTGAACCATCATCGTCCACGGTTGCGGGTAATGGGATAGACCCAAAATACATCTTTCAAACACTTGATTTGGTGGTGACTTTGTTCCTCCCTCGGGCTCTTTGGAGATAGGCACGAGGCCACTCGTCAATGACCATGGGGCTGTTTTGTATGCTTGCTCTTTAAACGAGGTTTATTGTCAATGAATGGGAATCCTATGGACTCTCGATTTTTGCGCTTTTTGTAGATATGGGATGAATTGGGTTGATGATTTGTTCCGTCACAGCCTGTCACATCACTGGTCACCTGCCTTTGCAAACCAAGCCACCGATGATGACCGATGTTCTGAATGGCAGTCCAGGCTCGGAGCACCTCTTGTCCTGTCATCTGTAGGCCCCGGTGCCACGGTGCCACGGGAGCGCCGAGCCGGTTTAGGGCAGATCCAGGGATGCACATGGAACCTGGACCTTTGGAAGACGCTACAACCACAACCCAGTGGTTTTCAGGTTCCAGTGTGTATTAACCTCGGCCTACCAGAAGCTTAACCTCGGCATGCTTGTCACGAAGGCATAGGAATCATAGGAAGGCCCTCTGTGAGATTGCTGGATGCTAAATGTAAGGGTCGTATTTCCCCCATCTCGTTGAATTGAAGATATTGCTTGGTGGCCTTAGAGAATCAATTCTAGACTCTAAAGAAAGGATGCTTTGGGTGGAAGATCCACAGGAATGGTGTCTCGACGATGTGTGATGACTGGACCTGGTGCTGGACTGGACCTGGTGTTTGGACCCAAGGAGAAGGTGCTGATGGAGTCTCAAAACCCGCTGGGAGCAGTCCGGAGAGCTCAGAGTGGAAGTCCAACAGGATCGCTCACGTGGGCCAACGTGGATGGAACACCGCCCCGGACATATAGGAGGACTCCAGGAGGACCATGTTTCCTAACACAGAACCCGCTGGTGCCCTCCGGCGACCGTTGGTCGCCCACGTGGCCGCACCACGGGTCGATTCTCTGCCCGTTTTCCCCCGGTGAAAAAGGTGGAGAAATCGGGTGAACCGAAACCGGTCAAGGGAAAGTGAGGGAGTCAGATTCATTGCCATCATTGGCCGAGGATGAAGAACTGTCTAACTGTCGACGCCTAAATCTGTTTACACCCTCAGTGAAAGACTGAGCAGGAGTCAGTATCCAACAGTGGCACTGTGGCACTGCAATGTGCAGAGTTCTTGACATGCACCCAAGGCAGTGAAGAAAATAACTAACAAAAATGTTTCAGGCTGAGCCTCATGGTTTGGTGATGGCTAATATAGTGGCATGAGAATGGACCAGGGCTGGATTGACCAAAAGATGCCCAACGTAGCATGACCCTTCTCAGAACGCCCCCAAACATAGCGACAGAGGAAAGAACAGAAAACTGTTTCAGTCCTTCACACCCTTTAAGAAGCTGCGAACGGGGCATCGCTACGAACGGAGCAAGGACGCTACGAACGAGGCTCATGAACATCTCCGCTCCACTGCACCGAACTCCGCTCTCTCGGTTGGTCACGAGGTCGATCAGTTGCGGCTTCGGGCGCGCGGCGACTTGGAACGGGCTGCTATGGACGGTCGTTTGGTGGAGGTGCTCAATGGCAAGCGGCAGGTGGCGCGGCAGGCGCAATCTTCCGCCGCGCGAAGCCATCCACTTGATACTTGATGCCAACTCAACACTCTACAATTGATATCAAATAGATAATTGACTAAGAACTAGTTAATTCACATGATGCAACTTGCGACTTGTCTCATCACGAATCATTTATCAATCATTCTGTCTTTACAATTGAGGCTCCAGTTTCACCGACCACCCACTGACCCAGGGCTAAATCGTGGATGCCTAATCAGCGCTTGCTTTGATTGATGATGTTGAAATGGTTCCTTCCAGGCGGCGGAGGGCCCCGCCGAGTTGCGTCTGCGGGCGCGCGAGCACCTCACAGCAGCGGCCACCGATGGGCGCTTAGAACAGGTCTTGGAGGCCAAGGTGGGGCACGGCACGGCGTTGTGTCTCAGCTCTGAACTGGGGATTAGTTGTCCCACTCGAAACAAGAAAGGTGGAACATTATGTTAACCTCTATTTCTCAGGGAAACTAAGGAAGTCACTTGTTTTTGTGGGTAGCTCGGTAGCTCTAAAGTTCCATGGTAGGACTTTGCCATTCTTTCCCACCATCCACTCACATGGACCAGTTACGTGCAACCGAAGCCCAAACTTCTTGTCTTCTTCAGACATACATATTCCCACTAGGAAGGGGTGGATAGACATCATTTGTTTCAGCAGTCCTTCAGAGATGAGTTCATTCAAGTCCATCCACCATACACCACCGCGCAAGGAGCGCCAGAAGCAGTTGGAGCAGCAGAAGGCGGAGGCAGCAGCGAAGATTCAGGCAGGCGGTCACTGCGGTGACTTCCACACGTGTGGGATTCAAAACGTTTGCTTGATGCAATTCTACTGAAGCCTCACCTAATTGGGCACAACCCTAAGGTCCAAGACTCGCTTGTGGTCAGGATTGCCAACTACAGATAGGTAACTACAGGGAAACCAGCAGTCTAGCAGCCCGTCCACACATCCAACTTAGCGTGGGTTGCGGTCCTTTTGGGAATCCGTCACCTTCGTTGCAAATCCAGTCGCCTCGTGGGAGCTTGGAACTGGCAGTTCCATGCAACTGCCTGCGAACATCATGGGCTCCAAGTCCAGACGCCAAAGAGATGGAAAAAGAAAACAGATCTTCCAGCAGTTGATGCTCAGGAAGTGGAATGAAGTGGACCTTTTGCCAAGGTTTGGGACAGGGGAGCCATGAAGCTTAGCCCCCCCAGGCCATTCAGAGAGGACGTCAGGACCGGGCCAAGGCGAAGGCCAAGCCGAGAGAGCGTGAGGCGAGAGGTTGGGGGCATTGGTGGAAGTCCATTTCAGGGCACCGAAACCAAGGAACCACCAACCAAACTCTGGCTTTTGGATGGAATTCCTTCGCCCCAAGTAGGTCGAACCAACTGAAGTGGTTGCATTTCTTCCTATTGAGTTTCAATTAGGTGTTCCTCCATCTCAGCCAAAGCCTTAAAGTATCTTAAAGTCTTAAAGCCAGTTTCCTGATGCAAACTGTGGCATCAGACAGGTCAACCAATTCAAGACTGGCAAGAGGGCTGCTCGGGTGTCAGAAGCCTCAAAAGTCACACTGACGAATTCCTTCAGATTTCTTCTGGGGCTGCGATGCTACGTAAGCTATATTATATAGCTATAGCTTCCATCACCTCAGTGTCAGGCCAAGAGAGGCTGAGAGACCCGAACCAGGACCCTGCAGTAGTACATCTGAGCGATAGTATAGGGCTCTCCAACCTCGGATTCTCCTCACCGCAGGCGGAGGATTCCGTGCGGGAGCTGCGCGCGCGTGTGGGCGAGCAGCTCGTCGCCGCGGCGGAGGATGGGCGCCTGGAGGCGGCGCTGCGGGCGAAGCAGGCGCTGCGCGCGGGGCGGGCGGAGGACGACCGCCGGTGCCGGCGGGTGTTGGGATCGAGGGGCAAAGAATCGAACTCCGTACCGTAACACCGATATGAACATGGTGAGGCAGTACATATATGCACCATGACAGATGATGAACATATGGTGAAAGCAGTCGATTCAGGATGGACACCCATTCGGAAGAAGTCCACTGACCTGCATGGCTGGATGATGGCTGGATGTATGAGCTGAGAGTCCAGTTGCCAGTGGGTTGTTTTTGATTGTTTTTGTTTTATCGGACTCCAACTAGGCGTGGTGCACACCGAAGCGCTTGAGAAGGTCCATAGATGCGATGGCTGGGTCTTCGCTTAGTTTGGAGTAGGGTAAATATAGCTGGCAAGGCTGCCATGTTGTTGGGCCCTTCACCAGTTGTGCCTTCTAGATCTTGTGCAGGTCAATGCACCTTCTAGATTCAAGAATAGAGACCCCTTTATTAAGGCCTCCTGGCAGAAAGAACCGATCAACATCGATTTTCACTCAAACCCATTGGACACACCATGCTCTTCACCCACGCGGCGGGCCTCTTTGTCTCCTAGCCTAGCCCTTGGCGGGCAGAAGAGATTTGCCCTCAGGCCTCGCTGGTGGACGAGTTGCGCACGCGCGTGGGACAGCAGCTCTTGGAGGCCGCCGATGATGGACGATTGGAAGAGGCACTCAGCAAGAAGGTGGGCGACCAGCGACTGAGCGGGGGGGCGCGGGGGGGAGGGCACAGGGAGGTGAAGCTGTGTCTGGATGTCTCAAAGTTTGGCCAAGTGCCTTGCTTGCCTGAAGGCCCAGATGTCTCCGGAGAGCGCATGATTTCAAGTGCGTATTACGGTGTAACGCATGTGTTTCATGAGCCTCAATGATTGGATTGCCACATGCTGCTCCATTCTTTGTTCAGACGTCCTCATGCAATGCTTCACCACCATGGGAAAGATCATGGCACAAGTTATATAGACGGTAAGCTTGTGATCGGCGCACACGCTGTTCAACCTCCCACTCCCGAAGCACTTCGTGATTTTTGGCCTGTGGCAGGGTGTGTGCGGCAGTTACGTGGTAAGGATCTTTGGCCAAAAGTTCTTTTTTCTCCCGACTGTCGGCAGAACAAAACCATATTGACAAGTAGCCAGCGATCAAAAGATAGGCTGGGCAAGGTAACACGGTCCAAAGACAATATCGCGGAAACACTGTTGAAGTTCAAAGGGATGGATTGCTAGTGTGGTGCAAGGCATGTCTGCGGGCCATGTTGATCAAGCTGGTATTGACAAGATGCCTCATGAAGGGCTTCGGGGCTCGCAGGACGTTCCCGTACCCTTTCCGACAAATTATGTGCGTTTTGGTCCAAAGTTTTCCGGCTGCGGCTACTCATGAAGTGCCGAAAACAGGCCCTTTTTTACAGTGCGACACAATTCTTAGCCTTGATCAGGGCTGATGGGCCAAGGCGTATGTTGTCAAACATTTTTTGATGTTCAGACAGAGTAAGCAGAGCAGAGCCGTGCTAATCGCTTCAAACACTCAAACATCATCCTAGATGTTTGATGATGATCCAGGTATCCACACTCTCAATGGCAGCTCCTGGTCATCCCACACCCTCCCAGTTGTCATCCCTCCACGCTCAGATGGAGAGCTTGCGCTTCGATGCTGGTCGACTCCTCCTGTCCGCGGCCGAGGATGGACGCCTGGAGGACGTCCTGCGGGCGCAGGCTGGACGCGAACCGGCCATCGAACCGGCCCGGAGAAAAGCGCAGCGTTTTGAGATGTTTGGATCAACGCCCCCGATGTCAAGGGCACTTCTTTCGATTTCGGGGTGCTGGGCCACCCCAATTCCAGTCGAGTCCCAGTCATCCCCTGGCATAGAATTTGGAAGTCCTGCCCCAACAACCAGCAAATGGCACAAAAAGTCATCCCTTGCTACTGGAGCCTCGCTTTAAGTCGTATCAACTAGAGGAAAGTCGCGTCATGTCGTGTCAACATGTTGTGCCCTTGGGGATTGACTTGTCTATGGATATTTATTGTTCCATATGTTTTGTGAACCGATGTTACATGCACCGTTGCATGGATCTGCCAGGCCTCGGAGCGCACGGACGCACTCCGGGTGGAAGTGGGGCAGAAGTTGCTTCGGGCCGCGGAAGACGGCAGTTTGGAGCTGAGACTCAAGGCACAGGCGCGGGGCGCGCGCGCGGCGGCCGGGAAGGTCATGGAAGCTGCTCGTTTTGGTTCGGTTTCTATGTTGTATTGTTTTCGGATGCCTTAAAAAACTCTTAATTACATTATATATAGAACTTAAAGACGTTTAACAAATTTTAGCTTGTTTTCCTTCCTTCTCTGGTTGATCAATGGGTTCCCACAGATGGTAGATCTGGTAGATCAGGCTGTCTTTTCCGCCGAGTCGGCGGGTCGTGTTTGGGTCATGACCATGTGTGCAGTCGGCTTCTAAACACCTCATGCACTCTTGGCCGGGATGCACCATGGATTAATGATATATATATATATATACACTATGTTTTGCATACTGACTTAAGTCCATTTTGTGTCAATAAAATCTATATCATAGCATATCATATCCTCACAGTTTGTGGCTCGCAGGGTGCTTGCTGTGCGATGGGTAAGTAGAGCAATAGGGCGCTACCCTACTTCCCCACCCTACATAATGGGCACCAGGAAACTTGGAACTTCTCACAACAGTTGCGGTCCCGGCTGTGAAAGGCCTCCGCTGCGGGCGAGGAGCTTCGCGTGAGAGTGGGGCAGCAGCTGATGGACGCCGCAGCTGACGGGCGTTTGGAAGAGGCCTTGAGACGTGAGGTGGGGTGGTTGACCTCTCAACGGGCCGAGGGTGCGTGGTGGACCTGCCAAAATGCAACCCACCGGTATATAGTAGAGCTGCTGTGTAACCAGTTGTTCAGCGAGCGAGGTGTTCTATTTTTTGGGGACCGTGCTGCTCTGAGTGGGGCCGTGCTGCTCTGTAACCTCATGGGCTCTTGGAACTTGGAAGCTTGAACATCCTCGGTGTAGTCGGTGTTGGCCCAGAAGAAACACTGTTTAGATGAGTCCTATAATATAGAGACACTTAGAGAGCTGACAGCCAGGTGAGATGATCAAGCCCCTTGCTTCGACAGGCAAAACAGCCAATCCAAGTGGAGCGCATGGAGAGTGTGCGCCGCAAGGCTGCTGAACGGTTGCTGGCGGCCGCCGAGGCCACTTGGGCGCGGTGAAGCACTGCACTCTCCAACATGTGCTTCCAGGTGCATCCCATGGTTTGTGTGTGTTTTTCTCCAGTGTTTCTCTTGCACTTGGAAGCCCCACCTTATTTTTTGGGAAAGGAAGTCGGTCAGCACGTCGAGCGAGTCCAAGGATGGGCGCTTGGAGCGTGCGTTGGCTCATGATGATATGGAGGCCGTGCGCGTGCGCTTAGCTACCAACCTCCTGGCTGCGGCAGAGGATGTAGGGCATGTAGGGCAGTGGAGGGGGGGGCATGTGCACCTCTTGCCAGGTTTGAGGGCCGGATTCTGATGATTCATGAGGATCCGTGCAGGCTAGCTTGTTTTGTTTGGAGGGTTCCCTCAGCCATTGTAGCGCTGAGTTCCAGGCACTTCAGGTTTGTCAAGGTGCACAACTGTCCAGTATTCTTATTAAAAAGCATATATATATATATGCACCTTCCATTGTGGTCCATGTTGAACGAATTATGAGCAGGAATCCATCGTACACAACTCCTGGCAATCCCGAAGTTGGGTTGGAACCCCTGATGCGCCTCTTTCTTTAGAGCAAAACAACTTCAAGCCGCAGAACATACACACGCACAGAAAAGGAACTCTTGATGGCTCGCAAAATTTAGAGTCCAGAATGTTCTAGAAAGACATTCCAGGAGTTCCATGTCAAGGTGCCTACTTGGAGGTTTAGGGGTGCCCATTTGATCCACTCAACGGACTGCTCAACTTTGAACCCTAACCCCATCACTGACCACTCCTGCTCGGACCTCATCTCCGCATCTCCAGGACGGCCGCTTAGGTGTGGCCCTGAGCCACAGGTCAGATTTGTCGCCCGTGCGCCAGTGTGTGGCTGCGCGGCTCCTGGCGGCCGCAGAGGATGGGCGCATGGAGCAAGAGCTGGGGCAGCGGGCTGCGCAGGCGTCGTGACGTGTGGGAGGGAGGACAGATGGACAATGATGGATATGAGTGGATGGATAGTTGGGCCATGTTTACCAGCAGTGCCGACAAAGCGTCCCTAACTTAGCAAAAAAATAATGGCCTTCCAAGCAAGTCGTTGTCAGGGTCCATGCAAGTTGCTGTTTATGTTTTTTGGAGGGTCTTCCGCGCTGGGGGGTGGATGGGACACAGGATGGCACCGGCTCTAGGGGTGTTTGGCTTTACACGACGCGCGGGTGGTGCCTGACCGGGCGGTACTGAGTTACTGAGCAACCTGAAGACTCGAGGACTGAGGATCTGCTTGGTGTTGAAGCCACCAGGGAGTTGCAGATTTTCACATTTTACTCTTAGGCATGCTTTCCTTACAAGATCTTACTGTAACTTTTGGCTGAAGGATCTGAGAACATATGAGAACCTTCCCCGTTACACGGTGCGATGAACCAGCAGAAACCAGCTGGACCTTGGTCCTCACTCTTGCACTTTCCCCCATTGTTCTCGCCCATAGAACTACAGCAAAAAAGACCCTCGTGAACTACACTCCGCTGTCGAACTCTCACGAGGCCCTATTTGAATCTCGCTCGGCACTGGGGGGGGGGGCAGTGCGCAGCACGACGTCAGCCTCTTCAGGCTCACATGGCGCAGGTCCGAGAGAAGGCAGCGGCATCGTTGCTGAAGGCGGCGGAGGATGGGCAGCCACTTGGAGGTGTCAGGCGTTGGACAGGGACAGCGAAAGAGGGACGGGCCTTTGACAGGGACGATGCTGAAGATGCAGACTGGAGGAGACATGCACATACGCACACACATTTTTGGGGGGTAGGGCCGGGTAGGGTGTTGGACTTGCTGTGGTTGGATTTCCCCAAGAATGAGCCTCCCACAGGCAAGATGTTTCTTTTTTCAATTACGCCCTCGTTTTCGAGATGCCCAGCACCAGTTTAGACCCCCAGACAGCAGGAACAAACTTCCAATGCGGCCCCATGAAGCTAGCATGTGCTTTTGTTTGGCCAACGGGCCAACGGGCTCATGATGCTCCCCGACCCCGGCTGCGCCGAGGATGGAAGGCTTCCTGAACCGAGGCACTGCCGCCCGGCACGCGAGGTTCGTTGGCACCGGCACCGTTGGGGCCGAATAAGGAGGGCTTCGTTGGCACATGGGGCCCGGGGTGCCGGGCATGAGGGGCCCGGCACCCGAATTCACTAAAGAACTTCCGTGGTGTTTTCCATCATTGAATGATCATTGATAGTTCAGATATTTCCAGTAATTCTGGAGGGGTGTGGTGCTGTAACTCTTTGGGACATGTGCCACTGAAATTGCTGGCCTGTTTAGAGGGCAGTGGCTCAGTTTTCGGAGATTGGTGCGACACGGTCCGAATCATTCTGTTTCTCTGTTTCGTCCGCTTGATGGCTTTGTTTCGGGACATGCGAACCTCTCATGGCAGATGACAGCACACGTCTTGCCAAGTATTCCCTGGTTTCAGTGATGCAGAGCGACCCCGTCACCCTCTCCATACTATGTCTAACGGTCCTAGACCTCACCTCTGGCGCGACACGCGAGATGCCAATACACTCGCTCCCTCTTTGTTCTTCAAAAGTATCATAATGACAACTACTCCCCTGCAGATTAACACGGACCCCCCAAAACCGAGGAAAATGATCTTCCACCGGTCAATTCTCAGGTTCCATGGGATCGTTTGCGAGGGGGTATACCAGCACAACCCGGCCGCACATGTGCCCAGCCACTGCACTGCTTCGCCGCATCCTCGAAGCTAAGGATGACCTCAGGAACAAGATTGTTCCCACGGTCACCACGTTGGAAACTCGAAAGTCAGAGCCGCTTGAGAAGACCAGCAAGGTACCAAAGGAGTGGGTGAGAGAAACCCGTGAGCTGATTCTGCCTTGGAATCTTTCTTGGCTGGACAGCCAACAATCACAAGTTCGATTCTCTACCAATCAGCCAGAAATTCTATGAGCAGCTGGAGCTGAGAGAGCTGAGACATACCTGGTCTCGTGGAATCTGAATTGCTAGAGATGTTCGAGTGCGCTTTGTCACCTGCTTGCTTGAAGCAAATGCCCCCTGCATCCTTCGTTGGTGCAGGAGGGCGCCAGACCGAAGGTAGCGGCACCCTGGTCCGAAGCTGATCTTAAAATTGGAGGCCTATCAATACATGTTTGGGACCTGGCCATGCTGTACCCAAGAACTGCACTGAAGGATCACACCTGGAAACGGGACGCAGGGAACCGCTCGCCAAGACTGCGGCTTTTAACCATTTGCTTACAGTATATGACAGAGTGAATGGGGGCATCATGACGAAATCTAAGACCCATCCTGAAAAGATGATACAGGAGCAACAGCCATTCGGGGTCCAAGTGGTAGAGATGAACGCAAATGCAGTCTTTTTTGCATGTTTATGTGTCAGCTGGCTGTTCCTCAAGTACCGGCCGTTTCAACAATATATAATCATGACGCACCTGGCGGATGGGAAAGACAAAGGCAAATCAGACTGTAAACAAGGCACCAGATCACTGACCAAGGATGTGGTCACTGATGAGATCAAGACCACTGATCTCATCACCCAGGCGGGATGGCATCTGTTTCCAGCCTTCTATACAACTTGGGTATGTTCCACCGAAGCTGATGCACTTCCATGGTGTATCAAGGGGCTTCTTCGATCCAACCACGAGGCGACGCGACGCACTCCACGCTGCCGCGCAGTCCACGCATGTCCACGCTCACCAGGCGCATTTGGCCGCCCATGGACAGCTGAAGATCGGCTCCGGGGCGGGGCAACACACTCTCCTGCGCTTCGAGCGGAGGCGGGCGGCGTGACCGGGTTCCTCCGTGCGCTGCGGAGGGGTTTGGTGGGGACGGTGGGGGCATGGAAGGAAGCGTGGTCGTGGTCTTCGGAAATTCGGGGCGTGGTGGATTGAGCAATTGGCGCAAGAAGCTTAAGCTTTCCAATTCGAAAGGTCTTTGCAGCTATGGCATGGGAGTTGCAAACCATGCATTAGTATTAACCTTGCGAGGTTTCAGATGTTTCAGGATGTTTCTCATGGCGAAAGCCAGCCCAAACGCTGTCTGCAGCACTTGGTGCGGATGTCAATGTGAATTCTGAGTTGTTGGCCCACCTCGTCAATTTTCCAAGTTTCCAGGGGAACTTGATAACCCCACTGAAGCATTTAGCTAAATTTAGCTTTGCACACCGGTCCCCTCCAGACCGACTCACACCATTTTTTGTTTGTCTCCACTTCTGAAAGATCTTTCAAGACCTCCACGCCGGGATGTGCAACAGGATCGGCAGCCTCATGGCGCAGATCCACCATGCTGAGCAAGAGAGCCTTAGTAAAAGTGCAGAGGTGGCAAGCCTGGAGGTGGCTCTGCAGGTGAGCCGTGCCACGTCCACACGTCCATCGCGCGACGGGTGTGGGCGACGTTTGTGGGCGACGTGGTGGGCGACGTGCGTTTTGATCATGTCGGTGGGACGCGGTCATGTTGAAGAAGCACTGCGTGGGTGGTTCAGAGTTGGTTTGGTGCTGGGCTGCTGAGTGTGATTTTCGGTGAGAAAAAGCGCATTTGGTTCGTGGAGATGCAGGATGACTTGAGGTGGTGCAGTGTAAGTAATACTGTGGTGGGCTTAGGTTAGGCAATTGAGGGACCCTCCAAAAATGGCAGCGGAGTCCAGGAACGGTGGGAGCAGGTGATTCTGATGTGGAAATTGCATGGTAGGGAACATGTGGTTGATTAAACCCCCCGCTGACCGTGTTTCGGTGTTCCTGTCTGATATTCCATTGCCACCAGGATCCACCAGCTTTTGATCATTCTCAGCCCCTTGTAGCACCCGTGGCTTCCAAGGAGAGTAGGTTGAAGACTTAACACCATAATTACGATAAGCATCGAGCATGCTCCCACAAATGGTTCTTTAAACCATGGCAGTTCACAGTGACTGACAGTTTAGGTATTGAAGCCTTTAAACTTTCACAAGATCTCCACAGACCCACAGGATTCCGCAGGTGCCTGGCAGAGCAGCCCGTTCTGTCTCACCGAAGTAGAAATTGAAGGAACACGATCCGAAGTAGCACATTCCAACTGCGGACGACTGAACATATCAACCTCCCCATGCCCTGCACTTCGGTTGGATCAAGGGTCCGTCATGTAAACCCGTCAAGTCATGCGCTGGCCCGATGAGACCGTCTTCGCCAGGAGGCGATGATGGAGCTGCGGCGAACGGACCAGGCAAAGCATTGGAGCGACATCCTTCCCCAGGGTCGGTGCATGAGTTCTTTTTTTAGAGGATTAGAGCTACTGTAAAACGATAAGGTCCAACTCAAAACCAATGATGTCCATATTGAAGTTGAAGAAGCAGAATGAGTTTTGACCGTCCCTCATGTGTTTATGCACAACTTCTTGGAATTCATCACCAATGTGAAGTCGGAAATGGTCAAGTACTTAGAGGTACTATAGCGGTTAGGGTCAGGTCCTAGCGCAACTAGAGAGAAAGGCCATTGGGCAAGGTGTAAAGTGAATCAGCGAGAGTGGCTCACATCAATCAAGAAGAGGGAACAACTACGACAAGAACATTTAATCCTTGGTCAATGTGAAGAATCTTTTGAGCAATGGCGCGTCCCGGTGGTATCCCTTTTGCAGGGGAAGCATTGGTTCATCACTGGAATGAGCTAGCCAGCGTGGGGGGATATACGTAATGGTTCTACAGGAAAAATCGGAGCACTCTGGAGGACTGGGGCACCAGTCCCGTTTTGCTGTTTTTTTTTGAGAATGTTCCTTTCAGGAGCTCGAAAGCCAAAAACTGCTCATGAGCAACGAGGAGATTGGCTCCCAGTGCTGTGCAGTCCAGTGTGGGTAGAATGGAGCTCAGGAATCAGATGCAAGATTGATCAAGATTGCAGGGCATCAGCTCACCAATATGTTTTTCTTCCGCTGGAGGACCTCAGTCTGCTTATATATCTATTATCTGTAAATTTGTATGCTGCCCGGCATGCCTGGAGTCTCCGTTTTAAGGGATTCGGGCCAGTGGATTTTCGCTCCAGATAAATCCACGGGAAGTCTCTTGCTTTCTTTTGATGAAGACAGATGTTCACCAATCAATTACTGACTATATCTGACTATCATTTCCTGTATCTGACTATTAATTAACTATATAATATCTTTAAATCTATGTAGTTAAGATTAAGTTTCCTCATGCGCAGGACATGGCGCCATGTCTTGCTTCTTGCGAGGCTCCGCATCACGCGACCCAGCCAGCGACACGACTCGCCAGGACATGAGGCGGTTGAGACTGGAGGATCGCCAGAGGCAGCTCATGGAGCAATTGGCCCGGGGCCCCGGCATCTGGCGACGGGGTTGTCTTAGCAACAGCCAGAGTCAACTAAGACCATGGGTTAAGCAACAAGCAACAAGACCATGGGTCCAGCAACAAGACCATGTGTTTCCAGGGTTGTCTTAGCCTTTGTCCCCTCTGTGCGACAGCCATGCATGGCGACAGCGACCCACACGCGACCCCGGTCAACACTGGAGCGAACATGGACAGACTGCGAGACATGGTCCCAACGACCAGGGGCTCTGTGGTACTGGATCGTGCGCACAGCACAAAAACCACCGGTGCACCCATTACCCCAAACAAGGAATTTGTTGGATTAACTTCCACAGATTTCTCGAGCTTCATCATGTGGCAAATTCTGAAGACGCGACGATTGTTGCGATGGCATGGACCTCTTGGAGCAGTTCGAGGGCCAGGGCTCTCACTCCTGATCCCTACCGTCCCTACCCTCAAACACAGGGACTACAAAGAACATCGCGGAGATTGATGTTGAAACGGACGTCGTGTCTTCTTTGGGATCTGAGAATGCTTGAACTTGAGACGAGGGCACCCAGTGCAACGATGCAGTAGGGTTTGCGGATTTCGAGAGACATGAAGTTGCCCGGGCTGAGGACAAGGAGAACCTCAAAGCGAAACACGCTCAAATTGATTGTATGGGCCGTGGTGCTGCTGCTTTTCCTGAGCTTACCTAGAGCCCTTGGCAGGGAAGTGGTGTTTCTTGTCAATCTGCACGGCCTGGGGCAACCCTTGAAAGAGTCTGTCCACACATGGGCCAATCATGGACCGAACAGACATGCACACGCAGAGGCAGGAAAGCAGTCGCGTTTCACGTAGCTCATCACCACAAGAAGTCGGTGCTGGCTGCTGGTCGTGCACACCGGAACATGCAAGCCTAGAAAACCTGAAACACTGTAGATTCACTGTAGGTGAACAACCTCCCCATCCAGTTTTTGTTTACAAATCTAAGCTGTTCTAGGACTAGATTTGCTCAAAGAGGCGCAGCTTGCGGGAGAATCTTCGAAGGCATCACTGCGAATCTGCGGGTCGTTCGAAGGACCGACCAACACATACCAACACTAATGACTCTTCGTTACTAAGCCCTCCATATTGGGGGGTTATATTGAATCAAGAGTCTACACTTAGGAATCTGCTTCCTGGAGCCACCCCAGCCTTTTTGGGACCAATCTCGCTGTGCCTTGACGGGGAGCGCCCAGACAACTCGAGCCTTCTGGACCCCAAAGGGACCCGTGCCGGTGATGGCGAGAAGCCTCAAGATAACCCAGCCGTGTCGTTCACCCAAACTCTGTCACCCAGCTCCTTAATAGGATCCAATAGGGGACAAGTGTACAAATAAACAATTCATGAATCATGATCCACTCTCCATTCGGCGAGTGGGAGACACTCCTCTAAGTATCCGACCTGCAGATCCATGCAGATCCTATTGGTTTAGTGTTTACGCATGTGAAAAAGCACTTACTGTAAAAACGCCTCTCTAAAAAGCTCCTTCGACTTGACGCAGCACGAGCTTATGACCCGTCGCATTGGCACCGGCAGCACGGCACCGGCACGTGCGATCCGAGAGGCCCGAGATCTGCGGCAAAGCTAGTAGAAACAAGTGCCTTACTGGTAGAATTAAACCATTAAATTAAAACTAATAGCTTCTTTGTTACTACTAGTAAGTAAGGCACCTGTTACTACTAGCGTGGCACTTGTTGGGCAAAGATCTGCGACTGTCGGCCCATGCACTATATATAACCTGGCGCGGGACTGGCAGTGCCAGTGAAATGACCTCTTCTACTTGCTGATTGGTTCACTTTGGGAGCCCCTCCAAGACAACAAGACAAATGGAAGAATGGTTGAGTGGATCCGATCGGACTGATCGGTTTGGCTTCTAATTCTAGGATCCAATTTTAATACACGACCCCAACATACCTGGAGCATCCTGTGTGGGTGTCCAATGGAGATTCCTAAGCGGTGTAGGGTAGTCTATTGAGCACCCAGACATCTCGCTGGCAAACGTCCTCGGCACACGCAAGAGGAAACCAAGATGAGAAAAGAGGACATCCAGACAGGATGGTCCTAGAAAATGATCCACCTGTTTAGGGTCTTTTCGGGAACCGAAGGGTCAAGTCGCCACACTGTTCGAGACACTCTCGGATCGCCGCCGTCCGTCGGGACCGCCTAAATGCGCGGCGGTCAGACGGTCGGCGTGGCCGGAGACCGGTCGCTTGGGGGCCTGAAATTCTGGGAGACGGCCGATGATGGCCGATGCTCGGAACATTGCTGAACTCGTTACGTGAAATCAATTGGGTTCGCCCCTCATGGACATAGGAAAGTGCCTATTTGTTGGTGATTGGCAACTTTATTGGTGAAACATGTGTTGTGAGATCTGGACTGACTTATCGTGATCTGTTTGGGACTGCTAATGGTGCAGCTGGATGAGTAGTTGGGCCATACTGACGCGCTCAGCATGCATGTTTTCACACTGTTGGTTGGTTCTGTTTCGTTGATATGCCTCAACATGAAGCTTGGAAGATGACAATAAAAGCAACAGATCCAGTCCAGGCCCCAGTCCGCCTCCTCAAGGGAGGACCATGACGTGGGGATCGCGTGGATTCCTCCTGCGTCATGGAAAAGGTGTTCACCCAAGGAAAAGGATGTTTTGGTCAGTTTTGGTGCATGCTTGGCGAAGGAGGTGCGAAGGTGAAGTAGGAGAAGGAGGTCTGAAAGGAAGCAGTGTGGAAGTAGGAGAATCTTGGGGCAGGAAAGGTCGATTCTTGTTAAGCGCGGTGCCAAATGAAGAAAACTCTTTGTGCCAAATGAAGAAAACTCTTCTTTGTTCATAGGCACCGTTCCCGACTTCCGCGACTTTTGAAGAGGGCAATTCCAGTCCATCATCCTAAAAAGCACTTGGATGCGAAGATGTAGGACATGGTTTGCAAGCAATCTGGACATCTGATAGGCAAATGCACAGCATAGCCGCCGTGTACTCAGCCTACTTAGCTCGTCTAGTTTTTGCCCGTCATAGGTAATGGCTGATCAAGTGGCTGAAAGCTGACCACATGTTCGCGACCGCCAACCAGGCGCATCCCCCACTCACCGCAGCCATGTATTTCATATCAAGGCGTTCCATGCCGCCTTCGGCGGGGCGCGACGGCCCTGCGGCCGTCTCAGGCCTCGGGGCCGAGTTCATCGGCATATGGGGTCGGTAGTGGGGTCGGTATATGTATATGGGTGTGTATACTCCCAACCAATGGGTCTTGGTCTATTCCATCCTAAATGAGGGGTTTTGGTAGGTCTCCCTGTTTTGATGCACACCGTTATTCTGTTTTCGTTTTCTTCTGCGGCGTTCGAAAGAAGCCGAATCAAACCCCAAAGATCCTTGCTGAGAAGTGATTTTGGTGCTTCACCGTCACAAGCCCTGTCCTTCCGTGGCTAGTGTAGCAGTGGGTGACAGATGGCACTATGGGTGCACCGTAGCATACAGTCTACAGTATACAGATGTATACAGTATACACCAATTTGAAACCTACATGGCGATTCCTATATTTTCACCACATGGGCGACCTTGGACATTTGGCATCGTGGACTGATCTTCCGATCGCTTGGACATTGGTGGCTTCAGTGATCCTGTGCCCGCGCAAGAGTGCCCGTGCGTGCATGGATGTGCTCGTTGCTTGCACTGGCCTGGCCCTGGCCCAATGGGTCTTGGTTTATTTTCCTTCTTCTTAGAGGTCTTTGGGAGTCATTCCGCAATTTCACAGGAATGTCCTCTCCCTCTCAACCCTGTCAGGCTGCAGCCAATGAAGCTATGCTTTCTCCTGGCTGTGATCTCAACAGCCAGGCGCCACGTACAGCTATTTCGCGCCACAACTGGACTTTGCGAGCATTGTCATTACGTTTGTTTTTGGCATTCCTTAAACTTAAACCTTAGCAGATACAAAAGACACATAGGATTGCTGAGCCTTGGTCGCGGGGTGCTTGGGATTTTCCGATGTCCAAGGGCCCAAGGCCTGGTCGATGTCGACATCGCTTTCGGGGCGCCCTCTTCTGCCCCACCGCCAGTGCCCACCTCCGTGTTGGAACTCTCTAGTTCGGACCTGTTGGACGAACATGGACGAAAGTGCTGCTCTCCCACACGTCGACTCTATTTTTAGTTCCTGGGCAGGAAGCTTGTGGATCCTGCACCGTTTCCTCGAGGCGAGGGGGCGATGGCGCGAGGCGAGCTGTGCGGAAGGAAGAAAGAATCGCCATAGTCGATCCACAAGTCATGAGAATGAGAATGGCCCGGATCAATGATCAAGAGCAACTTCTGCGGATTCTAAGTGCTGAATCGGGCTGTTTGGCTGTTGTTTATTGATCTGATCTTGTCAGTGATTTTCATCCACTTGGCTCCGTGGCGCAAGTCAACTTGCGGTGTTTGTTCCCTAACTATTGCAAGATGATTGAAGTTGGTGAAACCTTCGGAGGAACCAGCTGCAACGACATGTGGTCCAAAGATGATTTCATTTGTCAAGGACGACAGTTGTTTTGATGGGTGCTAAGACAAATCAAACAAAAGGTCTTTCCGCCCTGACTTGGCTTGCGGCTCATACAAAGCTTATATATATATATATTTATATAGTATATTTTTGAATCCTCTATCAGATGTGATAAACTTGGACCAGAAGGTCCCGAACTCAGATCCCCCGGAGAAAGCCTTAAGCTTGGATCTTTATGAGACAGCTGCAAAATAACGAGGTTTCAGAATTTCAGACCAGCTCAAGTAAAGCAGGTCAAGCATTGAAAAACACATCAGGGAGGCGTTCCGTGAAATGTGTTGACATGTCATCATCGGCAGCCAGAAGGCACTTGGTAGCAGTAGAAATATTGTGCGGTTTTTCTCACTGTCAATTCGCAGATGCTTCGATCCAAGTGTAAATAGCTGAGAGAGAGGGAGAGAGAGAGAGAGATGCTTGAGTTGAAAGGTTAGTCTCCGTGTGGGGGAGACCAAGCCGAAAGCATCCACATAGCCGGACCCGCCTCGCCTCGCGGCCGGAATCGCGCAGGGAAGCTGAATGCTGGGATTGACCTTGATGGCGTGGAGGCTGAACGTTTCCCTGCAAAAGACAAAGCACTCCCAAGCTGCAGCATTCCCAAGCTGCGATGAAAAACATTCGAACGTTGCAGTTTTAAGCTGTGCAGCTCACAGCGTCACAGCTGTCACATCGGATGGACTTTCCTCCACTGTGAGGCCATGGTTTTGCAGCTGGGAAACCGCTCTACGCCATCCATGAAGCCACTGTTCGATGACTTCCGCAAGCTGCTGCAAGAGGCAAGAGTCCGCCGGTGGGGGATGGGAAGAGGTATGGAGAGGTGCTTTGTTGTCCACAGCCAGGGCGCTGTTGATCCATCTTAGCTGGACTGGAGGATATACAAAAGACAAGATTTGCTTAGGAATGATTGATGATCCCAATTGACCGTGTGGCGATGGTGAACCAATGGCGGCGAACCGGTTGTTGGGCAACTTGGGGGTTAGATGGGGCTTGAAGACTGTTTGGTTGATCGCATTCAGGAGCATTGTCGTTTGTGCATCATCAATGACTATATATATATATATATAACTAGTTCTATGGGGATCAGTTGTTTCCGTTTTCGCTGCTATTAACTGGTTCTTTTCGGAGTGCATACCAAGGTTCCTGGCAGACTTGCATTGACCTACTGTACGGGATTTTTTGTGTCTAGCCTTTGAACCTTGAGGTGCCTTTCAAATCCACACAGGTAGGCCTGCCGTAGCGGCCTTCGATCAACAGCGCCAAACGTCGCTTGAGGGTGCCAGACAGTTGGGACGACCCCCCTACACTACCCATACCATGCTTTTGGTGCCTACACACGATCTCGGGATTTGGTGTTCGTTTGGAGTTTTCTCGCTCAGTTGAACTCTGAAAAACAGGTTGGAAACTGGAGGTTCCATCTGAAAGTTTCATGTGAAAGATTCCAATGTGTGACCAGGTGTGTCATTGGCATTTGGTGATCACTCGGGTCCCTTTGGTAAACCACTTGCAACGAGTGTTGAGCCTCGCGCCACTCCTCTTCACAGAGGAGCTCTTACCCCGACTCTATGATGAGAAAGGCACGCCGATTGCTGCGCGGGTTAAGCACTTCACTGAGTGCCAGTAAAGATTGAAAGCCAACTCTAGCTGAACCTTGGTCCTGGAAGTAGGGCCTACATTGGGTCTGTCCTATTACCTGTCACAGTGAGTACACAATTATTACTGTTTTGAGGCAGGCTTTTATTACTACTACTACTACTACTACTACTAATGCTACTAATAATAATCATCATCATCATCAATTGGTACTGGTAATATGGGATACCCAAGGTCTACACATGTTCATTTCTTCCTCCCTCAATTGCATTCAGACTTTATTTTTGCTGTGAGTGGATAGCCGTGGACAATGTTTGGAGCCCAAACACTCATGACTCATGATCATTCATGTGTCGCAGCCTAGGTCTATGCTTCTTGGCACTACTCCTGAATAATTCTGATTTGTTTCCGCAGTTGTGTGGACACAATGTCCACCAATGTCCTGTGTCCTTCTCCATGCTTCAGTGATTCAAGTTGCGATGTGTCGGCATTTGCATCGAGGCACCGCCAAGTCATTGCTGGAAGATGCTGCCAAAGGACTGCTAGAGAGCCATTTGATTTGCCAAACCCGTTCGATGATGTTCATCCCTTTTGCCTCCAATCCTCTGCCAGCTGGCAGGATTCGAAAGCTGCCAAGGCGTTGACCAGAGCCGCGTTTGGCGCCTGAGTGCCTCACACCAGCGGTGCAGGGCACAAGAAGCGCAGCTCCGCAGACAGCAGTGCCTTGGTGGCAGTGGATGGGTGGAGCTGCCTGGGAGTTCTTCCAACTGCCCCATCAGTTGCACTGTGGTTGTAAGCTACCAGCTTGTCATAGCCGAAGCCCGGTCAAGTAGCGTCTCCCTTGTGAAACTAGTGAACTAGTGCCTTCTTCCTTGGGATGGTTGGGATGGATATGTTTGACCCATGGCTCCATGTTAGCCCTTGGAACAGGAAAGCTGTATGCAGGACTTGCTTGTGATCTCCTGTCCTACCACGGTCTTTAGTGCTGTGGAGCGGATCAAAAACCGTGGTAGAAAGCCATGTCGCCATGTCCATGCTTTTGCGGCCGACCTCAGGAAAGATGTTTGCGATATGTCCACCGCCATGGCGACGAACCAGCACGAGACGTGCCAAGCCTTCCAGGGTGCCGACCGAGTTTCGTCCGCGTTGTCCCGACGCGTCCGGAAACCGGAAACCGGCGGTGTGCTGTGCGTCCATCGAATCCAGGCGAATCGTCGATGTTCACAGTTTTTTCACAAATCTGGATGGTAGGAGCGAGCCCAATTTGATCATTCTGAACTCCCGGGAATCCATTGATGTTCACGCTCCGTTGACCTTCCCACATCGGTGCGGCTGGTTTCTGCTGCCAGCAACAGCTGATAGGGCCCGGCCCGGCATCAAAAGGCTCCCCCCCGCGAGCGGCATTTTCGGCAGAGCCGTCTCGCAGCTGCAGACCTTGACGTGTTTCCAGAGGGCGTGCCAGTGGTGTGCAACAAGGACTCCTTTTGAGGCCACATTTGGACACTTGTTGGAGGGATAGTGCGAAGTCTCGAAGGTGCGAAGTCTCGAACATTTAAGGTGCGAAGTCTCTCTCTCTATATATATATATATACAGTTGTTTTGTTTGATCAGAGTGCGTACTGCTACTGAGACGGGGGGCAGTTTATTTATGTTTCACCGCTGTGTGCACACACATATACAATTATTGTTGTAAATTTTAAATATTTGATTGTATATAATATAATTTTACCAACATATTTACATCAGATTTACATAAGTTACATATGGTCATATGGTTATATTATTTTCTTTGTTTTAATACGCCTTACCGGATCTTACGGGATTGAATTCATGTATTACATAAATCCAGCAGTCTGACCGCCGACAAGCAAAAACATGCATGTACTTCAAGATGCATAGTTGGGCTTGTCGAGCTTTTTTGCTCGGCTCCTGCACACGCCTAAGGGGCCAAGATCCAACTCAGGCAATTCATGTGCTCACGCTGGTCTAAAATCTTCTCAATCCTGATCTAAAGGTTGTCTGACAGAGGGCCCCCAGCCGGCAGAAGACATCCTGAATCCGGAAGAGCATCATTGTTGGGTGAGCATGGTGTAACTTAAAGTTCTTGCACCCCTCCTAAACCACGCAGCGCAGGAGGCCAACGATACCAGCCATGAAGCCCACGCGAAGCGTGTGCGTGACTTCTATGCCCAGTGACTTTGGTCGCAGGCGCTGCATGTGAAGACTTTAAGTTGGACTTATAGGAAATTATGAAAGATCCCTTCAAATAGTTGAGGTTCTGCATTTGCGGCTATTTGCTTATCATTTGTTTGAGTGCTTTTGTATGCTTTTGTGGGGGGGTCGGTTTTTCCGCGGCCTGGCTTTGGAGCGTTGATGAGGCATGATGCGGCGATAGATTGCTGGGCTACATCTAGGGCCAGGGCCGGGAGGATAGGGTCCACAGTTATCAGACAAACGTTTAAGCTAGAAGACTAGAAGCTCTCCCTGCCTGGCTGCCTCCGAGCCGAGGAAAGTGCAGGCGCGTCATCTCCGGACGAGTCACGGCAGTTCCCGTCTTGGGCGTCGACACCGTCGGCTTCGTCCTCGACCCCGGACACTGTCGGCTTCCAGGCCTGGGCGGTGGCGGAAGGCCTTTGTGCGAACCAGACGGCGCGTGCCACGCAAAGCGCTGGCGACTGCAAGGCAGCGGGTGCGAGCGTGGTCAGCAAGGGCCACTGGGAGCTATAGTGAGTGAAGTTCGGAGCTGGTGGAGGGGGGTCGCTCTATGTCAAAGAGCTCTTTGCATTCTTTGCTGGATTGATTGGGGACAGACTTCGTGGTGGGGTGTCTTGAAGTGTAGTGAGGGCAAGGGCAAGCCTCGGCTTTTCACGGCGGTGGGGTTCGGGAGTCTTCCACATGCAGGGTGTTGGTTTGATTTGGTGTGGAAATGTGTGCAATTTGGCTTCCCCCCGAACCTGCCAAGACCATCCACGACCATTAAACGAAAAGTTGATTTGGTGTTGCAGTTTATCATTCTTACAGTAGCACTTATGTATGAAAAAAATAAAATAAAACGTTATGAAACAATGGTTGTTCAGTAAGTGAGAATATGAATGAACCCAATGAATCAACGGTGGGCTAGGAATCCTGGAACGACTTGGAAGTGCATCCTTCGGTGGGGTTGAGTCACGGAGAGGCTCGTTCTGCACGGCCGGGCACCAAAGACCTGGCCGGGGGGAATGTTGGACATGGAAGCCATTTAGGCTTGGGGATTTTGACTGGCCCAAGCAGCGCAAAATTGCGAAAGCTCGGCTGACTGCTGGACGAGGGTCTTTCATGCCATTTGAGGTGAGAACTGCACTGAAATCCAAAGGACTGGAGCGGCCGGGCAGTTTTAGGAAAGCTAGTTGCTTTGAGAACCTCGCAGTGGGGCTTGATACGCTTGTATCGTCGCAAAAAGCGCATTGTATCACTCCTCCGCCTCTCTTCCTCTCTCCCTCTCTCCCTCTCTCCCTCTCTCTCGGAATCCATGCCGTGTTGTCACATGTGAAGCGCACTTGAGAGGAAACGCACGCGCACACACACAGACTTATTGCCTGTATATGGAGAAGATGTGACCTAGCGATGTTATTGTATAGATGGAAAGAGATACCCTCCGCAGCGTCACGCAGCGTGGAGGATGCTGGATGATCTGGCTTGTGAAGCATGGACGGAGCACTATGATTGTCACTTGGACCCACTGAGAGCAGCGACGGAGCGGCCACGGTCCATGTTCAGCACGGAGCGTAATGCACACCTCACCCCAAGTCAATGTTGTTGGGAAGAAGCCCAGATGACCTGCGACAATCGTTTTGAAGCACTTGGCTTTTGTGGGGCTTTGAAACAGGTGCACATCAGCATGATCAGCTAGAAGAAGTTCCTCCCAGCTTCCCAAGCCCTTTATTGGGATGTCCATGTCCAAATCATTGCGAAGAGATGTGATGAGTCGCCGTGCCCGGTGCGCGCCGTGCTGCGCGCCGTGCTGCGCGCCTCACCGTCCGACCTGGTGACGGTTGTTGGTGAACCATCGCGCCATCAACGGTTCCGCGGGTTTTGGGGAACGGTTTAGGTACCGGTTTGGCGGTTTGGCATCACAGGTCTGGTGGAGGCTCAAGAACCATTCCAAGAACATAGGATATAGAACTGTTCAAGAACCATTCGCATGACCTGAACCATCATAGCACTTTTTGCAAGCAGTAGAGCTTTTTGATACTAGTTGGATCTAGTCGGGCTTTTGTAGTGTTGAAGTGCACGCTTTCTAGGGTGTTCCTTAGTACTGAGCGTTTTTTGAGTTGGTGATGACTGGAGCTCCCTTGTGGGTTTAATGCCGCCTGTATAAGCTTCTTATTCCACTGGCTGCTGCCGAACCAACCAAATGCCCTGAATCTCGGTGCGTCTGCGTCAATCGAAAGGAACATGTGTTCCCTCAAAGTTCTGGGCGCCAGGTGGACATCCGCAACATGCGCACTTGGCCGCGTGCCGAAACAATGCACGCCACACCGTGCCGAAACAATGCACGTTGGAAACGCATCGGGTTTGCATATGATGCATGGATTCATGTGTCAAGCCCAGAGGTGCACGTGTGCAGTGTGCAGTGCGGAGGCACGGCCCAAAATGGGTTGGATATGAGTTCCATGCGTGATCATGCATGTTATTTGAGTGCTTCCAACGTGTTGGCTTGAAAGAGCACTCTTTGAAACATTGAGTGCAAGGTGTTGTAGAGGTGGAACCTTCAGGTTTAGGAAAGGCACCACTCCCGGAAACACAAGGGATCGCTGCAAAGGGATTGGTCCGGTCCAAACTCAAGTCCCTTGCCTTGAGTTCGTAGGGTTTCTAGTGCTTCTGTGTGCACCCTCCACCCATTGGCTGAAATTCCTTTGCACCTTCCCAGGTGAGAAGAAGTCCGTGTCCTGCTTGTTCCAAGCACGGCAGAGATACCTGGATGCAGGGACCCCCAGGAACAAGCCAGTGTCGGTAGATCCTGCTAGTTGAAGCACTGTTCATGTGGCATCATTTGGCTATACTCCCTGAAAGTATCAGGACCGTAGTTCACTTGCCAGCTGGTCAGTGGGGACCCCCTGCCAACAGAGCCGGAAGTAACGTAGATGCCCCCGAAGGTGCTGGGTGACACTCCCCTCAAGCAAGAATTGATAGGAATTGGCTGCTTGCAGGAGCATTTGGAGGACTGTCTTCCTCTAAGGTTCTGGGGCAAATAAGGTTGTATGTGTTTGATATATATTATATTTTAATGTTCCTGTCCTAGATGGCCCTGAACAAGAATTCAATAAACCCTTCAATGATTCTCTCCGACTCTGCAAGGCACTTGGCCATACATTGAGTCAAACAGTGTCCTATCTCTGAAGAAAAATTGGACCAACAACATTCCTTGAAGCAGTCCAAAAAGAAGTTGGAACCACCGCAAGACTGCCCTGCCCCAAATTGCTTGCCAACTCGGCGACGAGTGGCTCCTGGCTTCGGCACTCGGATGTGACTGAGGCCAATCGCACGGGCGCGCGCACGGACGAGGATTTGCAGTCCCAATGGCGGGCGGTGAAGCGTGACCTGGCGCAGATGAGTGAAAAGTTATCAACATCATGTGAGGTATTAGTGTCCAAAAACCACATTTCTGTTAACTGTTATGGCCCTGGACCATGTTTTATCATGTTTTCTCCATTCGTGGCCCTTGTGTGTTTGGAAGAGCTTTTACCCAAAGAAAGGAGAAAGAGGAAGAGGAGGAAAGATGCACCATTTGTGGACAAAATGGATGCACTTTGGTGGGTTGCTTCTCTACCTTGGACGTTTGACACCTGCTTTGCTTTGGGAATGGCATTCCTCGTCCTTGTGGCGTTCGGTGACTGAAGGTCTGACGTTTCGAACCTCCGTCCCATCCCTTCCTCCAACATCTCGGAAAGGGGACCACCCCTGGGTCTAAGGGGGCCCAAGCAAACTGATCCAAGGCATCGAGTGCTTGTTGGATGCGATGGAGCAGAGCGAGGACATGAATCATGCACTGGAGGAATGCAGGACTGGGAAAGGGGGTTGCCCACCCCAAACGAACATGGAAGCGAAAAACAGACCTTCATGAGTTCTATCATGTTCTGATGAAAACTTCCGCCCTTCGCAATGCCAACTCAGAAGCTGTTTTTGCATGTTTTTATTCTACTTGCGGGCCTTACAGTGCCCTTCGCTGGCGTGCTGGGCGCCAAGTCTTTGACTACGGTTAGTCCCATGCCCAGACAGGAAACTGGACTCAACAACATACTCAACAGCCATACATGACTCGCTGTTCTTGCTGTTCTCGGAATGGGGAAGTTGGGCTACAAGTTGCACAAGGCCCCCGGTCGAAATAACGTGGCATCATGTACACAACCCTATATAACCGTGAGCAAGGACCCTCGCAGGTGTCCGCCCTCGCCCAGGAGTAAGAGCCATGATGCCAGCCCCATTGCCTTGAGCTACCCCTTCTACCAGGCGGATTGCGTGGATGTGTTTATACGTATTTTAAAGGTACTAAAGTAGACCTGGCTGCAACATCCTGGAGCCCATGTGTCACCTGTTTTGACAGGAAGAGGCGGACTGATTTTTTGTAACTTAGGCTTTAAAGTCTATTAGTATAGCCTATTCAACACGTTGACCCATAGAACATGCTCAAAGCAGCACCCTTTTCCTTACTGATCATATGATACAAGGAAACATAGAACACATAAGACAAACACGTAAACAAATATTATGGGTTTCCAGGATGAATGCTTAGAGCATTTTTAGATTCATCCAAGAGTGTCAGTATCAGTTTGTTCATATAGCACTATGTACTCCAGGATGGTTCAGCCAGCTTACAACTCAGATGTTTCAGTTCTGTTCAAGGTCCAAATTGCCTAACGCCGGCAGGACTGGGCACCTCAGATGCCCGATGTGAGCGAATGCAAGCAGCCACGGTTCCCACCGTTCCCCGGATGTAGCTTCAGGGATGAGAGGAAGATGGGAACTGCAGGGATGAGTCCTGGATTCTTGTGGACATCGAGCGTAGTCCGCAGCTTCGGAAGCTGCTTTCAGCCAGCCGGCTTTAAAACGCACTCCGAGTTGCCAACATGGAAGTGGAATGCACTTGTTTGTAGAGGAAAACGGTCATCCAACGTGACGTTGTCCACTTCCATGAAGTGACATCGGTCCACTGACATAGGTGGTTCAACCGTTTTTTTTTCCCGCTGACGAGTCTTCGTGGCCAAACATCAGCAATCTGGAATAGAATAAGGGATAATAAGAGGGTCATGAGTCATGAGTCACAGGAAATCTTGATGTACACATTGTACACTTGCTGGATGATCATCAACTGTAGAGATTGCTTGCGCACGACTTTTGGACAAAAGGATGCTCTCTTGGGGCATGTGCCCGAACATACGTTCCAATGAGACCTATATATTCAGTGTGAAGGATACCGGTGAGCATGCAGAATTCACCTTAAATTCTCCAAGTTTGGGGGGGCTTGGAGCCCGACCTAACCTCTTCAGGTCCAGTTGGGAGGCTGGTTGAGTTCGCGTCGTTGGACCTTTTGGGGTGCTTCTTTTAGGGCGCTCCCCACCATCTCCAACCGGTTTCGGTAGGATGGTGGCACTCCCGCACAGTTGACGGTGCGGGAGTGATGCTGCGAACTCTTGGAGGTGGAGCCGTTTTTGATCCGAAAGACCATGTACTTCAAGTTTCGGGTCCCAACTGTTGCTGTATTTAGGGATGATGAAGGGGACATGTGATGGACGTGAACTCACAGTATACACTCCGACTCAGTAACATGGAAGTGGATGGCATGGTCCCTTGGAAGACTACTTTCCTTTACGAACAGGGGCTGACGTCATGTGAACTTCACTTCCATGATTTTTTCAGGTATATACAGTAATATATGAATCTTATAGATTCACAAATTGTTGATTGTTCAAGGCTCAACGACCTGAGCACACCTACAGTAGGTGTTAGGTGTTCGTTTTGCAATCGACCGAAAGGATATTTTGTTGATGTGTCCTTCGGGCTCTTTTGGCCTGGCCTTTCCATTCTTTCTATTTTTCCATCAATTTCTGGTCTAATTGTTTGTTTGTTTATTCATTTCTGCAGCTAGCTGTCCATCATTCCAGTCCGTGGCCGCCGCGACATTTCGTTCTTGCGCCGTCGCCGCGAAGTTTGGTTTCTGCGCCAAGGCCAGGAAGCGCCACCTACCCAAAGCAAGTCTACGACTCTTGGGCTGCAAGGGTGCACATGTGTGGCAAGGTTGTCTCCGTTTGCCAGATAGGTGTCGTCAAAATCAGTTTCTTGAGTCCTGATATTCCCTTGCTGCAACTTGCTCTAACCAATGTCACTGACATGAGTCTGTTTGAAACGAGCATTGTCGTTTACTGGCTGAACCACCAAATGCCAAGTATTTTTCTGATACAACCCCCGTACGCCGTACGCCGGATGCAGTCAGTTTTTTTGTTCCAGTGGGGCAAGCCAAAGCATTCTTGGCCTGGGCATCAAGCGGTCACGTATGCGTCACCAAAAGGGAGTGCTCAATAGGTCAATAGACTGACACCAAGAATCAACATAAACTCCTACACTAGAGAAAGCGAAATAAAACCTAATGGTTTTTCATGGCAGCTGCTCCTTCAAAATGCACGACAGAGAACCTAGGGAAACAACATTGCATTAAACATTCACATGTTTTTTTTTGCTTACTTGATACCACCTTGAAATTCACAGATCACCGTGTAAAGAGTTTCCGAAATCAAGCCTAGGGTCCATCAACTGTTGAGCAAGCGATGGACCTAGCAGAGGCGCCTACCATTGACTGGCAAGAAAAACATCACACTTCCCTATAGATAGTGTCCAACACAAAAAAGCACTTCCAAGCAAGAAATTCCACCCAGTCGCAATCAAGCAAGTGAAATCGATGGCCATGGCTCCAAGATATTGGACCTCTCATTCAGCCGCAAACCCGTGCGAATTATACATCGACCACAGCCGCCCTGGTCCTTAGGGCGGTGTTTTCCCGCCAAATCCGACTCCCTAGGTAAGGCCTTCCGAGGAATGTAGTTCTACGGGACTTGTCCTTCCTGCATGCTGGCCTTCAAAGACCGAAAGAATGTTTGATCTGGTGTTGTAGTCTACGATGCTTCGTACAAAAATGGCCGTTCTGGTACTAAAAACCCACTACTGTAAATCAATGGTGCACCAGCAATGATTATGGGCCCCATGCTTTATCCATCTCAAGATCCGCCTCCGCACCTCAGGATCTGGCGCAGGGGGAGAGCTTTGCGGAGTGCACCGCGGAGTGCTGCAGCAGGTGTCAATTCTTCACTTGCGGCTTGATCTTTTGGGTGGGAAAGTGGGGACATCAAAGATTGGCACCAAAGAGTTGGAGCAGAAATTCAGGGCGAGGGCTGGTGTGTTTTCTGCTTTGCGCGCCGTTTTCTTTGGGACTTTCTTTGGGATCTTTACACCTGGCCCCACACCAATCCACCGATGAAGCGACCCAAGACATCAAACAAAGGCACTGCAATACGTGGGCGGCTTCCGCGGCCGGAACCCACGGGGCCTCGCCGTCGGCCCAAGCGGTTTCGGGTCTCGCTCTTCACGACCTTCCGGACCCGCAGCGGGTTTCATGGCCAAATGGCCGTAGAGGATCAGCTGGAGCCCCACGGAGTGAGATGGAAACTCAAGATCCACCCGACCAAATACACAACGTATTTGAAGTAGGTGGGGGCGGGCAGTTCAAATACTTCTTCAAATACGTCGAAAGTGTAAAGTCAAGTCGGGTCAGTTGGGTGGAATCTCACTGTGTACACGGGAAAATGCGGGCATGAGTTGGCAAGTCGCAGAGTCGTAGATCAGGGACTCCATCCATAACCCCATGAATCCCAGATTTTTCACATGTTTTGCAACCTGTGATTGAAAAACCCTTCCGGAATCAAGCACCCTAGTACCAAAACGTTGAGAGGTTCCCTCAAATTTGACCTCATTTGTAAAAGTTTGGGATTCCAGTTTCGCAGACACCGCACCCCGGGCCCTCCGCTTTGCCAAGGCAACAGCACGACAGCCTTTTGGACTGGGACTGGGGCTGGGTGAAGTCCAGAAGGGTTGCCAGGTGTTTTGCTGGGTTACTGTATCCTTCTGTTCTTGTTTATTGAAGGGTTCCTGGGTGGCTCCCGAAAACTGGGAGAGATTAGCTTCATGATTGTTCTGCAGCTCCCGGGAGCCGCAAATCCTAGGTTGACAACATTTCTGTCCGCATGGCATGTGAAAGCCACCTACTAAAGAACTGGCAGGAAGGAAGGAAGGAAGGCAGGAAGGAAGAAAGGAAGCGAGAGAGAGAGAGAGAGAGAATAAACAAAGAGGTATGAAACGTATATAATTAGATGAACACACCGTGACTCTTGTGACACTTGTGATTGGCGCCATCCTAATCTTGAGAACTATGCCGTGGCGTATGTGGCGTGTGGATTAGGCGGCAGATATCCTGGTAGACTATCTTGTTCGTCAGTGGGGCTTTAACATTCGATGCCCCGTGGTGAGGAACAAGGAGCTTACCCATGGACAAATCACCCCCTCCAAAAAGCACACAATGCACAGCGGGTTTTGACCATCGCCAGTCACCAATGTTGAAATTCCATGATATTCCGGTATTTTAGCTTGTACGTGATGCATCCTTGAAGGAAAAGCCTGCAAGTGAAGCTCATTTGCCTACAATTGATGACTCATGACAGCTTTTGAACTCCTGTAGCTCCATTCCGACCACTCATTAGCCAATAATTGCTTGAGCCAGGTTTTGAACATTTGTGCGTCAAGTGGGCCGCAGGCAGGGTTTGCTTCAGCTACGTAGACTTCCGGCGTGTTTTATATCGAAGGAACTCACCCAAACGGGTTGCTCCGACTGGCCGACGAAAAAGCCAGCGCCAGCCGAATGCCCAGGTGCTGAAGCCGAATGCCAAGCTCTTGCATGGCTTTTCACAGGCGCAGTGCTGCGAAGCGATGCCTCAAGTCCATTGGAGAGCAGCCCCTTGGATGTGTGGATTGTTTGGCATTTCTAGCTGCTCGTAGCGAGGTGACCGTGGATGGATATAGTCTAGCACTTTGTGCCTACAGAGAACCCAAGATCAGACATGCCATGCCATGCCATGTCCATACTCAGTTGCTTGACTTGAAGACTGTTACAGCTTTTGCTCAGGAAGAATGGCCCAATGTGAATTGCCCCACTGAGTGTGGCTTACAAACGATGCATCTCGGCTCGTTCATGTAAAGGATTCTGAGAATGTGAAGCTGGGTAAATTAAGTGAGTCTACGGTAAGTACTTTTATATGAGCCGCATTTGCGGTCTCAGGCTCGCTCCGTCTGCCACATGTTTGGTCCCCGTGATAGTGTGTAAGTGTTGTGTGGCCCGCGAAACTAGCCTGCCACAGAACGTGCTCGTGACTCGAGCGTGTGAGAGAATAAAAGTACTTTTAAGCCCACTACCTCAAGGGCCCTGTCGCCTGTTGAACATGAGTCCCTGGAGCATCCTGTGAGGACTCAGACGCGCCGAGTTGTTTGCTGGGACGTGGCAAACCAAGTGGAAGCAGACCCTTGGCCTCATTCACCCTGGCGTATTCTCCACCAGCGGTAAACAGGCTTGAAATGCACGGGAGGGCCCTGATGATGGGTTTTTGATCACCTACACTTAGGGCCAAGTGCTGAATGTTTTGGAACATCCACGTTAAGGTACTCCTCTGATCGATGAAGACCTTCCCCCCACCCCCAGTTGCATGTCGTGCAGCGTTCTTTGGTCATGTCCTTCCCACCCGCATCCAAAGTCGTCGAACCGCTAGCCACCCGCGCGTAGACCCCCGAAATAATCATCGAAGTGGAAAACCACCTGTTTGTCGAGGAACATGGTCACCCAAGGTTTTTCAAGGGCCCATATACTACTTCCATGATTGTTCCCGCAAGTGCAAAAACCACGCGCTAAGGAGGAGTCGCTGTGCACAAGCACGAAGCCCTCGTCCTTCCGCGTGAGCTGCCCAGCAACGCCCAGCTGCAGGAGCTGCCAGGCTCCGTCGGCTTGCGATCTGAGGGAGTCCTGCCCAGTCAGTTGACAACGTTTAGCCTTTTTGGGGGATTGGTTCCCCCGTGTTTTCCCCACAAGAACAGGTAGTAGAAATCTTGATCTTCCAGGGACAGTGATGGGGGGTCAGGAGTGAAGGGACGTGAAGGGAGGGAAGGTGGATTTGTTTGGTGGAGCCTCATCGGACTCAAATACGGACAGCATGTTGGCGATGTTGTCAGAAGCCATGAGGCTTCATTGCAGGAACAACTTGGATGTGGACAGCTGGGCATGGAGGAAAAATAGATGAGGATGAGTCAGGGACGAAGCGGGGAACCCCACGAACGAGCTGGATGGGTAAGTCGGTAAGTTGGATAAGATTGGATAAGTCTAGCAGGGGTTCCTGTTCCCTTGTCTCAAGGTCATTCTTGGTGAGGTGGGATTGGATGACTTGCATGAATCAAGGCATTTATATACGAGCAAATCTAGTGGTGCCTCCTCTCACTTGCATTCTCCCAGTTGTCATCCCACTTTCCTCTCACCAGTTTGCAACACGCCCACCTATCCAGGGTTTGTGTCGGCATTTCCAAGTGAAATATACATGTTATATAGAATTTATTGTGCCATTTTGTGTCTACCTTTTCAGATGGCCTTCACTCCAGAATTGGGAAGAAGGTTCAGAAGTGGTCGATGAACTCCCCGCAGCGCCCGATATTTCGCCAGGCCACCAAGTGCCCAAACGGATTCACAGCAAAGGCGGATGCTCCAGAGATTTGCACAGGCCATTTCAAAGGGTTTGGGATTACTGGCTAGAGAGAGCTTTCTGGTTTTGACACCTGATCAAGACTTTCCCTGGCTCCACTGTGATGAACCTTTGATCTCTACCATGTTTTTGGAGTGGGTAATATGCATACCAGCCTCCAACAGCTCATTGGTTGAGGGTTGTTGGACCCTACAAGGTCTCAATTGGATTCAATTGATCATACAGAAGTCCTGCCTACAGCCTATCTACCTATAATTACCTGCCAGGACTCACAAAGGAATGCTTATGGAGGTTAGGGGTGCCCATTATCCACTCACTTAGGGACCAAATACCACCCCTTGGTCCTGGTGTATATAGATCGTATGCTGGACTTGGACACCGGTTTCTCCGCTTGTTCCTCCGGCGCACAGGCGCCACGTGCCTCCCAGAGGAGTGCTGCAACCGCGTGTGCTCCGTCGGGGACTGCCCTGCTGGATGGGTGTTGAAGGCCAATGCGACCTGTGGACGCTGAGCAATGAGCCAGGAAGCACCTGGTGAAGGGTAGACCTCTTTCCATTCTCTTTCCATCAGGTAATTTGGTCGACCTCTTTCACCCTCTTGGAAGGGTGTCTTCCAAAAGCATTCCATTCCGGTTTTTTGGGTTAAAAGCAGGCCGCCCCTAGTACGCAGCTCTATACTCACCTGGAAGCCACCTCTGGTCGATTTCCGTCGATCGACTCGTCCGAAGACTCCCCAGTGACCCACCAGGACGGGCCGTTCGTGTGGTTTCACCGCGGGGGCCGGAGACTGTCGAGCAGGACTCCTCCGACCCCCGGCCCCCCGTGATTCGATACTTTTCTGACGCAGAAGCAACGGTCTTTGTTCCCTTTTTTCCCATGGCATCGCCACCAGCGGTGAGTTGGTCGCAGTCGGAAAAGGTGCCAGAGGCATTTTTGCGAATGGATGTGACTACTGCAGTAAGGAACACACATCAAAGTCCTGTTCTGTGAGGTCATTTGCCACTTCATGCTTAGGACTTGAATACTCCACACCAGGACTTGCACTCGCGAAGCTGTTGTTGGAATGGAAGTCCCCAGTGCCACCAGCTCACTGTGACAAGGCGAGACTATCACTCAGAGCGAGGACTTCTCACCTCCCAGGTGTTGGTGTTAGAGATCCCACCGAACCTTCGTCCGAGCCAAGCGAATGGCTGAGGAAGTGCAACTTGCACACGGCAACTTGGCAGTTGAACCATGTTGAACCTGTCCTCAAGCGTGAAACTAGTTGATCCAAATGTCATATGCGCCGTACTTCTAGAACATGTAGCAGCAGAGCGCACGGAGACCTGGGGGCAGCCTTCAAACGCAAGAAGTGGGAGGATGCCAACTCGTTGTTCGAGCGCACTGGCGCTGCTGCCTTTGCTCGCGATCTGCCAGGGGCGACTGCTGCAGTGTCACCCAGTGGAGCTTCAATGAATGGACGGACGTGATGTGCGACTCCAGCTGTGGGCAGCCGGAACAGAGCCTCGCGGGTGGTGCAGTCGAAGGGGATTGGTCATGATCGGTCGAGTGCTCCGAGTGAACGGTGTCCCCTGCTCCGATTGAAGGTGCCACTGCCAAGCCGGAACCGGTCATGGGATGTGATGGGTGCCACAGACGGAAGTGACAGGGTACGGGAAAGATCCGATTGTTGAAGAGATCAGCGAGGAGAGAAGAGTCCCAATAGCCATTGACCAATAGAATTGTTGTTGGAGGGTTTTAGGACCGAACTGGGGGTATAACCGGGGTTATATGTTTGTTCTCTGTTTTTGAGCCTTGCCTGTGGGCAACAAATAGGTTCATAAGGCAAGTGCAAGAGGGGCCCTCACAGTGTCAAGTTGTAAACTCTCAGGGGTGCACCTATTGCGGAAGAGGAGCTCAAGTTCCAAGTGTTGTATTGGCATTTAATTGGATACTACTTGTAAAGAGAGTCAGCCATGAAGGCACATTTTGCTGGACAAACTGGTGGAAGCGCAATTAATATCGAGAACACACACTCACATGTTGCTGCCTCCAGTGGGGTTCTGTGCGGGGTTCGGCCTCCGTCCCACCCAGGATCGAGACGCGTTTGGTGCGCTGTCGGGTGGAGGGAATGGTGCAGGCCCCGGATCTGCCTGAGTGTTTTCTGATTCAAGCAACGATGTTTTGAAGCTTCAAGCAAGGAACATACTGAAATTCGTTGGGCGGGAGTCTTTGACAAACTGCCGGTGACTGGAACTGTGGGTCGCTCATTCTGGCCGATGTGCCCCCAGTGACCTCGCTGATATTTGGATCATTTTGGATCGTCCAACACACTGGTCAACCGAGGATGGCAAAGGTGATGTAAAGGGTAAAGCCTCGCGGTCTACATGTTTCTGTATTTTGTACTCATCCGCCGAGCATCAACTGCCGTCCACTCAGTTCGGGCGCTGTGAAAACACGATGCCCACATGCAAAAATTCACGTGAGGCTTTTGTTCATTAATTGAACATATCCGGTGCCCACCACATCACGCCTGATGGGGCTGTGGCCCATTGGTGCAACGAATGGGCGGTGGAGCCTTCCGATCCACCCATATAATATCCACCCCTAGCACTGCATGACTCCAATGATCTCTTGACAAGCTCCAAAACTCCCACCAAAGAAGTCTCTGATCCCATCAGCCCGGGCCCAGATGTGACCGGGCTGCTACCAAAAGCTTGAGTTACTCATCCAAGACTTTGGCTCCAGCCTCTTAATAAAAAGCACACTTTTGAGTTCTTTAACATTCTTTAACCAAGGGGTATCCCAAGAGTTACCTTTGGGAGCAAATTCTTGATCAAAGCAACTTGCATTTAGGGTTCCCTCTGGAGCTGTTTAAATAAGGAAGATGGGTGGATAACGGTTTCTTAATCGTGAGTTATCAACAGGCGGGCCACAGCCTGTACCCATCTTAGCCCATCACAGACACCTCCCCAAAAACATCTCAAAACCAACCTTGTTTAAATCCCTATCTGAAACATCCCCAAACAGCTTTTTTTTTACAAACCTTTAGGCCAACCATGGGCGTGCATCTTTTGGACCCACCTTCCATCCGCGACCCGTCCCCACCCCCACCCGCACCGGTGCCACCCACCCCCCAGGGCGACGTCTCCTTCGTGCGCGATGACGCCTGCGTCGCCCCGAAGCCGGTGACCTCGAGGGTCGGCCCGGCGCTGTGGTTCCGGGGTGCAGCGGGCCGGAGCCGCCGCCAGGGGCGATGAGCGTCGCGGAGCGCTCCGCGCGGAGGGTCGCGGAGGATCTGGGTGGGTGAGCCTGAAGAGAAGACGTGGGGCGAAGTAGAGACATGGGATGGGCGAAGTAGATGGCTCCGTGAAAAGGGTGAGGAAGATGAGAACCGCCTTTACCTTTTGGCCCAAGAGGATGCGCCAGTTTCTATCCGAGGAGGGCACACTCTAGGACTCTAGGCTTTTGGGCACTCCTGGTCATGGTGCATCAGTGCAGACGGCAACCCCAGGTGTATAGAACTCGACATGTTGGTGTTGGCCAGCGTCATTGCATGTCATTGCCATTGCTGCGTAGAATTCTTCAGTCCTTCATGTGCTTCTGAGATTCTGACAATTGTTGACTAGGACTGTATGGGATGTCCAGAATTTAGAGATTTCAAAAACTCAGAAGGGTATGTTAGGTTCATATCAGTGGAATTTGGAGGTTGGTTTCCCCACCACCATTTTCATTGGCTTAATGTCATCCCTGTCATGTTGGTGTTGCAAGGTTCCTTCTCAAAAGGCATGTGCAAAGGCCACATGCCTCATCAATAGAACTCAGCAGGCCTTTGTGAGCTTTTTTGCGGCAGCCTCGATCTGATCAGACTTTAGAAACTAGAATGTACTAGAATAATACAGTAGGTGACAATACTAGCAACAGGCAAACTGCATGAAGCTGGAAGGTCTTATAAGCTTGTAACTTGGTACCATCACCATCTCACTAATAATATCCATGCAATTGTGCTCAATGGATCGCACAGACGAAGCCGAATACTATGGAATGATATGGAATGCAGAGAAATCCCACGAGCTCATCATCCACTGCCATGGCAACACATTTGACTTTGCACTTGCAATGCAATCACCCATCAATGCCCTTCATGGAGCACAATTGTGCAAGGCCCAGATCCATTCGCCAATCTCAAGAACCTTTGTTCTCCCACCTGCCCATGGTGTGGCTGCGCTTGGCTGCTCTCGCGCCCGCGTGGCGCGCCGCGGCCGAGCCCGCCACGGTGGCGCCGCCCTTCGGGGAGGCGGCGCAGTGGGCGGCGAAGCAGATCCCTGAGGTGGGAGCGTAGGAGGGTAGGGGGGCCCGGTTCATGGGTACCATCTCCTGCAGATCAACGTGGATCCTCCAAAACCACTGGCTTAGTAGAGGAGACGAGTGTACGGGTACTATAGTTTGCAGGGGGGGTTGTCCGGGTATGTGTGAATAGTTGTGCCCCAACAAGTGTCAGGATTTTTCGATTCAACAACTTTTAATCTTCATGCTCCTATATATGAATGTATGTAATATATATATATATACTAGACTTATATATATATATACACATTGTGTGGTGTATTTGTTCTCTTGACCAGAAGGTGTTGGCTGCTTTTGTTTACAGGATTTCCCTTGTTGCTTTGCACATGATTCGGCCTTGATTGCAGTACCTGGGCCTGGGCAGTATCCTTATCCAAAGTCAGAATATGATTTGGAACCATCTAACTAACCAACCACCCTAGTGGGGAATGACAAGCTGATAGTATCCCCACATATCCCCCACCCTAGTGGGATCTAGTGGGGAATGATAAGCTGATAGTATCCCCACATATCTAGATAATCAAGGACGAAGAAACGTACAAGAAGAGTCTGCTTGGCATCGCGGCCGGTAGGGACATCTAGATACCTTAAGACGATTAATTTCCTCATTCCCGGAGGACGTCCATCAGTGAGTAACAATCGTTCTCCCTGTGCTTTTGCAGAAGTGGCCTGCAGACACAGGCCTGCGATGGGCCGGATGGTGGCTGCCAGGTGGTGACCTGGCGGATGCCGAAAGCATCCAAATAGGGGAAATAGGGAGGGGCTGGGTGACGGCAGGCGCCACCAAATTCCGATAAACATATTCTACACCAACAGATCCCAAGATCAACTTAATAACATAGTTCGTGCAACTATCACAGGAGGTGCTTTGAAGCTTTGAGGACTCCTCCAACTGCAGGTGGTTGGGAGGGCAGCGAGACTCGCTGGTGGAACGTGGGAGCCGACCGGGTCTAGTCACGGACTTGGCATGCATTATGGAAAAGACGTTGGAGACAAGGATGATTTTGCACTAGTAACTAGTATGAGTTTCCTGACTGACATGCCCCAGACCAGTCTCATTTGCGCCTCTTTCAGGGATCCACTCACCTGCAAACAAGAAGTAGCACCCTTGAAAGGAGGATTTAGTGAGATGACAGCTTAGAATCAAAACAAGAAAACAGCAAAACAGAAGATGACAAACCAGACCCTTTTTCTTCATACCCTTTTTGTTGGGTGGGGCCCAGGTCACACATCTGCACCGTGGCCGCTTCAGGACTGGGACCAGGTCGCCGCGACGTGGCGCTACGCCTGGCGCCTCGGGCGCAATACAGCTCGGCTGGACCGTCCGGCCGAGCGCGCCGCGCCAGGCGTAGCGGGGCCAAGTGGAGAAGCATATGGGTTATGTACAACATATGCTTCTGACCATAGGTAGCGTAGCGGGGGTGGTCATATGCCAAGTGTACCCCCTATAACCCTTGCATCTGACAGCATTGCCCTCCACCTCTAACAGGTTTACATAGTTTAGCAGTTCCATGCTGTTCCCGGGGGGTGCTGCTTGAAATATTTCAGTTGGACGGGGCCCTCCTGCTTGGGGGAGGGTATGTTTTTATCAGTTGAGCATTGAAACAAGCATTGCATTAGCAGCATTGCATTTCCCTGTTGACCTTCTATATTGGGTGTTAGATAGGGAGACCTCCTGGAAGAAGGGAAATAGACCCAAACCTGTTGGTTGGGGGTCTTCCTTTGAGAATTGCATGCGTGCCCATGTGGTGTTGTCACTTTGTATTTGCTGCCTGCCTCAGATCGGTGCCACCACCGGACATCTTGGATCGCGTCGTGCGATCATTGGCAATCATCAAGCAAAATGCCCTTGTGCCTTCTCGTTGCAGCGTATTTATCATAGGTAGATTGCTAGATAGATGATTGGCACATTGCACTGTGGTTTTACGTCTTATAGGTCGCCTGGGCAGGTGACCGACAGCCTGGTACGTCGTGACGGACGTCCTGAGATACGTCTTCTTTTTGCTGAAATTGTTACTGTAACTAAGGAACAACTTGCGACTAAGCCTTCAACATGCCGCAGCGAAGCACCGTCTCCGTTTAGACCCCGGGGAAGTTCAGCGGCTGGTGGCGGTGCACGAATTTATGTACTGGCTTGGCGAGGAATGGCAGCTGATGTTGTGAAGTCTTGCACATGTCACATGTTACATTGATGAACATTCTGAAACATGTGGCGGTCACATGTATGCACCGTCAGCATGCGGGTGTCTTTCGGCAGACTGGTTTCCGGCAGCAAGACCCATTGTTTTCAATATGGCGAAGCCAATGTAGATCATGAGCGCCGAGAGTTTGCAAGCCGATGGTTTTGATGTCAATACTTGCACCCTTCTCGGGCATTCCAACACCAACGTCCTTGTTGGGTGGTTTTGTCTTTCCGTTGATCAGACAGATTTGAGGTCCAAGGCTTGTTTGTCGCAGGGCTTCCGCATCAAACCAAGGTGACTGAAAGGTGATGTGAAATGATGTGAACATAGTAGGATATGATATGTTCTTTCCATCCCTGCGTATCCGTGAGATCCCGAAGTTGCGCAGGGTAGTCCAGCCAGGAGGCTCTGAACTGATGCTCCTGGTTCCTGTCATCCGTGACAGGACAAGAAGAAATGGCAGGTGGGTTGGGATGAAATGAGTGGTGCCGCGCGGGCGCTACTGCGTGCCCTGCAGCTGTGGCTGGTATCTGGCGAGTACCAGCGTCCCGGAAGCGGCCAGATTCGGGGGCGTGGAACACAGATAAGTGTGGTGAGGGTCACAGGTCACGAGATTGGGAGTGGCGTATGACCGTGATGTGAGCCCACCAGATAGATATGGATCACCGACACCTACCACCATGAAATGCATGAACCACGGGATGTTCGGGGATATTGGATCATACATGTTTCAAAGGAGAGTGTGCATTTTCTGGTTTCACCGGTTAACTGGCCAAATGGCTGCAAAAACGGTCAGAATGCTGCTACTACCCCCGTACCTCCTTTCGGTCCCAAAGGCTCCACTGGCGTAGGTGAGAATGCCTGACAGCCCAATTAAGAGCGTTCTACACACAGAACCTCTGGAGTACTGTATGTGGTTTGAAAGGAGAACATGCATGGGTGAGAAAAGCTCACTAGCTTGGGTATTGGTATTGTTGAAAGTATCACACGCATCTAAGCATGGAGTGAACTTTTAACGAAGTCTATTTGATCTTATTGTTTCTAGACATCGCGTGCAACTGCTCCAAAACCAAACACCGACTTCACACTGTTAGGCTGGGCCGTTGAATACAAAGTGTGTATAATATATATATATATAAAACTGAACTCTTTTTGTGTGCTCATAACATGGTAAGCGCTTCTTTCTTCATGCTAGATCCCTCCCTCACCCTGCACCGGAAAAACCAAGCTGTGCCGCTCATCTCCACCATGCACCTTCACATGCCCCAGCGCGCGCGCGCACCCGCTCGCGCGTCGGGTCCGCGATACGCGCCACGAGCGTCACTCGAGGTGGGGCTCCCCGGTCACCCTCCTGCGCGCGAACCACGGCCTGCACTTGCCCTTCCCACAGCGCTCGGCCCCTCGGACGGTGGGAGGCTAGAGGCTGGAAGAGTCTGGAAGGTTGGTAGGGATGGGGGCAAGAGAAAGCCTGATTCCAGCAGCAAGCACATATTTTTTTGGGGTGACTGTTTATCTCCAGAGCGAGTACTGGAAGAACTGTCTCAAACTCTTGGCTAAACATTGCGGAGCTCGGGAACTCAACCGACCAATGCTCCCCAAGTCTGACCATCGCAAGTCTGGAAATGTCCCTGATACAAGAGAGGGCCATGGCTTGGGCACACGAGCGGTGA